ATCAGCCCAAGGCCTGGTTGTTTTTGCCTGGTGCCTAAAAATATGTAAGCAAGGAACCAGGCGAACCTCCCTGGGGAGAGCATTCAACGAACAGGGAGCCACTACAGAGAAGGCCCACTCTTATGTTGTCACTCTCTGGACCTCATGTGGAGGCGGTACACAAAATAGGGCTTCAGATGATGAACGCAGAGTCTGGGACAGTCTATATGGGGAGAGGTGGTCCTTTAGGTATTATGGTCCCGAGCCATTTAAGGCTTTATAGGTCAAAACCAGCACTTTGAATTGGGCCCAGAGGCTAACTGGCAGCCAGTGAAGTTGGGCCAGAAGCTCAATGGAGACCTGCAAGAAAGTATGCTCCTATTCCAGGATACTCCATTCCATTCCATCCCTACCCTCCTCACAGTTTACTTTTCCAAACATGGGCCCTTTCAGACTGTCTCTATTTTTGGGTGGGATGTAGTCACATACCGGATGTCACACTCCAGGGAGCCCTTGTTTCTGAAATACCAGCTTCTCACCAAAGTATCTCACTAGCACAGACAGGGTTGCTGGTGCAGTGTAGCCCAAACAAACCAAGGTCAAACACAGGGAATCCAGAAGGTCAAGCCAGGATCTAGAAGCTAGGTCAAGAAACAGTCCAAGGGCAATATCACAGGGTAGTCCACAAGGTACAGCACAGCAAGGAGGAATAAGCAGAGTCAGGAGTGAGGAACCAGAGAACTGTGTTGTTTCCAGCAACTGGAAGGTTCAAGAAGGAAGCCATCTGGTCTCCTAAACCACATTCTAACCACAGCTGCTGGCAGTGAAGGAGTGTAGGGATTGTTTACTCATGAGTAGAAACATAGAATCTTAGAATTGTAGAGTTGGAAGGGACCCTAAGGGTCATCTAGTTCAACCCCCTGTGATGCAGAGATCCCTTACTCACAAGTAGCCTGCTGACTCTGGGTCCATAGACCTTTGCTCTTCGGCTTAGATCTGAAGTTTCTGGCATTGGCACTCTTAAGGACCAGACTCCATCTCCTCCTCTGACCTTTCACCTCCTCTGACCTCTGACCTTTCCAGAGGTTCTTCCCCAGAGGACCCCTCTAGGGGATCCTTGGCACAGGACTCAGGGGGCCCTGCCTGCTTCTCAAGGTCCATGGCCTGTGGGGTGTCTGGTCTGGTTTGGCCTCTGAGGACTCCACGCCTGGCACCCGGTCAGGGCTAGGCATGATATTGGCAAGAATTCAGGTTGTACAGTTATCGTTGACTGGAAGCAACAAACCTACTTCCCCAAAAAGATTGGAGTTTTTGCGACAAGGGAAGTGCATTAGAAAGTGTAGGACAAACACTGTTATCCAACCTCCTTGTGAATAAATCAGAGTGAATGCTCAATAAATAGCTGACATCATCTCCAAGCAAATCAGGATGAATGTTCAATAAACAGGTCATCTGGAAGCGCCATGATACTCAACATTCCAGGTCTGTTGAGCATGCTTGCGCTATTTCTTTTTGGGGGTGGCAGTACCCCATTTGCTTTTTTTTTTTTGTACTTTTGAGCTTCTTAAGGTTCCCTTGAGTATATTACTACTTGTTTCTGGCTTCTGAATTGTTCCTTTTGGGCCCAGTCCTGCTGCCATTCATCATTTAAGTTCACTGTTAGACAGAGAGCTACAACACATGGTGGCCCTATATAATGTCATGTGCTACATAAGGGGTAGGGAACCTGTAGATAGTGACATGGGGAAAATTTGATGTAGGTTGCCACATTTATCAAATTCGCACTTTCTGAAAAAGATGAGAACTGTGCTTCTCCTAATTTTGTGATTCAGATCTCCATCCAATGATTACAAAAATGCCTACAAAATGAAAATATTAGTGAAAATAACAAGCAAAAATGTTATTACAGGAAATTGTTTGCAAAATTTGCACACTAATCAATTGCATGCAAAATAGCACAAAAAATGTGTTTATTAGGAGAAATTGGCACTAAGATCCTGATGGGTTTTTCCATCACCCTCTCTGACCATTGGCCCTGCTGACTGGGAATGATGGGAGTTGGAGTCCAACAACACTTGGAGGGCCATTTCATTTTTCCAGTTCAGTTCCCCACATTTTCCACATCAGTTTGCAAATTCATTTTTGCGAAAGAAATCCTCACGAAAATTCATCTGCAATTCAGTTTGAATTTCTCTGAAAACACACAAGTTTGTATGCTCTTCCCCCCTAAAATATAATGCACGTTAGTTTTAGTAATATATGCTTTTTAAAAAAATGCACACTCCCCCACCAATGTACACATTACTTGGCTGGGGAACTGCACTGAGTTTTGGTTGGCATGTTGTTGTTTTTTAAAATAAGTGTGAATTTGGTAGATTTGCCTTTAAATGTAAACTGAATCCAGTTTGCCCCAATCCAATCACTAGACAGGAGTCCAAGGCATCTGGGCAGCAATGAAGAAAGCATGTCATCCTTAAAGTGGTTCTGGGTTAGGGAAAGAACTAGAGAAGAAGGCATGTAACTTAACGGCTTCTCTCTTCAATCCCAATATCACGCAGGTGCTCCCCTTGTACAACAAGCTGAACCCCGAGGCCTCGGCTGCCCCATGCTGTGTCCCCCATGAACTGGAACCCTTGACTATCCTCTACTACGTTGGCCGCTTGCCCAAAGTACAGCAACTCAGCAACATGGTTGTGAAATCCTGCCGCTGCCGCTGAGTGTGTGTGTGAGGGGGGCAGGAACCGGTTTCATGGATGGTGGGAACTGGGCTAACTGGAGTAAAGGGACATCCCTTCTCAACCCTATCAGTCTGTCTGTCCCAAGGCTACTGGGAAAAGGATTCTCAACCTGACATTATTCCATCCCCTCCCCATCCCGCCAGTACAAGGCTCCAGCATTTTTCTTATGCCCCAGCTCCCAGGGAAGAGTCACTTTCTCCTTCTGTGGCTCCACTCATCAGCAAAAGACTCTTCCCTCTTTCCCAGTTCAGTTCACAAATCAGTTTGGTTCACAGATAAGTGCCTTGCCCTTGCTTTTCTCCCAGATACTTTGAAAGGATTGGTGGGGTCTGTCTCCCATGGTGTCCTTGAGCTAATTCCTCTCCATGCAAACTCAGCACTTAATTTTTTCAAAAGAAACATATGTGATTGAAGCTGGTCCGAATATCTAGCATCCTAGCCTCCCTGAGGGTGGTTACTTGGTGGTATAAGATTCGCTCTCGGTGCATGCTCAGAGGCACTCTCCCCTTTAGGATTCTTTGACATATTCCAAGTGTGCAGGCCTCGTGTAAACTTTTGGATGATGGACTTGGCTCAGGTCAAGCCTGAGATCCATCTAACCTGGGATCTACCAAAGCTAGTCTTCAGTTTTCTTGCGAGGAAATCCCCCAAGTACTTGGATGCTAGCCACACACACACACACACACACACACTCAAAACCAAGCGCCTGCTGAAGGCTTGGCTCAGTGGTAATGAGTGCAAACACAGGGCAGAGAGGCATGCAGAGAGGCAGGTTGAGAGACAAAAGATCTCTTGATCAGGAAAGAGGAATATAGAGCAGTAGGATAAACAAGGCTGTGTGCTTAAGTGTTGTATGAAGGGGGGGAAGGAGGGAGAGATAGGAAGGGAGGCAGACAGAGCGGGCTGGTGGGGGTGCTCAGCTCGGCTGCAGGTAAATATTTGAGAGCAGAGCTTCGTGGTTTCGGAGCTGTGTGTAAACACAACACAGATGGAAACGCAGAGCCCTCTTAGCATCTCCCTGCCCTAATGCTGAAAGTACTTCTTCACACCATGACAGCGCATAGTTTAAAACGATGGCATTTGCTCCCAGAAGAAGTAGTGATGGCCACCAACTTGGATAGCGTTAAATTCAGAGAGGGTAATAAGACTATCAGTGGCTACCAACCACGATGGCTATGTTCTCCTTCTACATTTGGAAGTTGGATGCCTCTGAATCCCCATTGCCAGGAACCTGAAGTGGGGAGAGCTGCCATCTTGCTTGTGGGCTTCCCATCAGGACACCTGCACTAGATCTGCCTTGAATTGATCCAGCAGAACTGCACAAGACCACAAGTGGTTGACCTGAACTGAGAAGGTGGCATGCTCAGAGATCCCAACGTTTCTCCCAACCTCGGTTTTTGCAAAAACCCAGCCTAAGGAGCATTATAGAAACAGGGAAGGAGTTTTTGGAAATGGAGTTTTTCTTGCCCTAAATAACTTTTCTGCCCCCATTATCTGCCCACACCCTCAGTGGTCAGTTAGCTTTCCATAGCTACTAAGCACACTTAGTCCTTGCTGAGCTGTTTGGGAGAGTGTTCCCTGCCCCCACACTTTCAGGTTTTCTGTCCCTTTAGATTGTTTGTACTCTGAGAAATTTTGGGGTCCCCCCAAGCCTGTTGCTCCTGCTCCCTTCCCTTATGTGGGGGTGGAGCTGTTTTGGCTACCTAAGCGCCATTCCCTGCCGGAACATTGGAAATAGAAGGATTGATGATAAATAGAACACTATCCATACATAGGCCCGAAAGCGTCAAAGTGTTGGGTTTTTCATTTTTTTAAGGGTCCAATTTGTCCAAAGCAGCAATAATTAATCTTGTTGGGCTAATGAATTAAAATTATTGTGGGAAACAGCACTGTAGTCTTGTCCTGAACTGCTTGAAGTCTGTGGTGTATACACAGCCGGACAACAACAGCTGAATTCTGCACCCAATTCCATATTCTCTTCCCCTCTTTATTTATTTATTTTTAACTGCCTCTGCTCATTTTTTTATTTTTGTAATCATAGTTAGCTTGCCTGTACCAAATCATTGCTTAATGATTGTGATCAGTTTCCAAATAATATCTGCATTCATTAAGTTACTGTAAGCAGCTCTGTGAAGGCTTATGTGAAAAAACATGGACATAAAATATGCAAATTGAATCTAATGCTGCACTCTCACAGACTCGCAGCACACACGCTGGTCCTATGCCCTCCTTTGCTGCCCCAGCCCACAGGGCGGCGGGGAAAAACCACAGGATGGGGCGGGATGAAAACACATACACATTTACTTGTTCTCAAGGTGGTTTCAAGGTACTGGTGGGCAAAGGGTAGGAGGGATGTCGTTTGCACAGCATCTTCACTCAAAGAACTCTTCTTCCCTGCAACTGGAGGTGAAGGTGTTCCACCTGCTGCTCCATCTGGATGGTGAGAGGGTGCTCTGATCCTAATTTTTTGTGGTAGTCTGAGGAGGGGTGGTAGAGGGGGAAGAGGTTACTTTTACATGCCACACATTTCCGCAGTTTCTACCATCACAATATGGTGGGGTGCATAAGTGACCTGAGTCTCTGGGACCTTGCCCTGCCTCTCATGAGATGAGCCTGCTTGACCAGGACAAAGGACCATCCATTCTAGCACTGCGAGAAGCCTGCAATTTGGACCCGAGGGCAGCAGAAACTCTGCTCACCTGTAACGATTCCCAGCAGCTGGTGTTAAGCAACATATGAGAAGCCCGCACCTCTGTAGGAACCTCACCCTCCATGATCATGAGAATATAAAAAGAGCCTTGCTGCCGAATCAGGTCAGTGGCCAACCATGCGTCCTCTTTTCCCCAGGACACGTCCTCTTTTTCAGGGGCAAAATTCGAGACAAATTGCATTCATTTGCTTTGAATAGCTGCCATAGTACAGTGGTGCCTCGCAAGACGAAATTAATTTGTTCCACGAGTTTTTTCGTCTTGCGATTTTTTTCGTCTTGCGAAGCACGGTTTCGGGAAAGTTTTGGAAAAGCTTCAAAAATCACCAAAGTCTTCAAAAACCTCAAAAAAGGCTACCACACCGCGTGCTATGAGTTGCTCCTCGAAGTCAAGTCGCAACTCTATTAACGGTGTTAAGAAAAAGGAAACAAACTTGCAAGACGTTTCCGTCTTGCGAAGCAAGCCCATAGGGAAAATCGTCTTGCGAAGCAACTCAAAAAACCAAAAACCCTTTCGTCTTGCGAGTTTTTTGTCTTGCGAGGCATTTGTCTTGCGAGGTACCACTGTATAATAGTGTCCTATTCTTTATCTTCAAAATATGGCAACCCTAAATTCTAGTCCCACATCCTATTCTCACAGTGGCCAATCGGTGGTTCTGCTCCTAATTCCAGGGTTGTTTCCAGAAAGCTATTATGGGAGGGAGGGCCAGTGCTTGATGCCATGAATGCTTTCCTCTGGTGTCCTGCAGGGCTCCATCTTGTCCCCATGTAATCTAACATCTATAATTCCCCTCATACAGCTACAATTCTGAGAGCAAATCCCCTTTCCCAAGGAACCCTAGGCATTCCAGTTATCTGAGCAGAAGTGAGGTCTCCTAACAACTCTTAGCAGCCTCAACAAACTGAAGTTCCCAGGATTCTTTGGGGGGAGCCTTGACTGATTAACGTGGCATGCTGCTGCTTCAAACGTATGGTGCAGGTGGGGTGTAAATTACAATGATCATTTCTGAATTTTGTATCTATACATATACAGTGGTACCTCAGGTTGCATACGCTTCAGGTTACAGACTCCGCTAACCCAGAAATAGTGCTTCAGGTTAAGAACTTTGCTTCAGGATGAGAACAGAAATCGTGCTCCGGTGGCGTGGTGGCAGCGGGAGGCCCCATTAGCTAAAGTGGTGCTTCAGGTTAAGAACAGTTTCAGGTTAAGTAGGGACCTCCGGGATGAATTAAGTACTTAACCTGAGGTACCACTGTATATTAGTATGAACACATTTTACAGAAGTCCTCCCACTTTGGGGCAGGGGGACAATGTACAAGTGGAGGCTTGACTTCAAGAGGGTTATGTGCCCTTGTGATCACAAAAGCAGGCTAGACTTGCAGTACACAAGCCTTCTCCTCACCAAACAGGGTTTCCACTAAGATGTCAAACACTTCTTCCTCCATCACTTCCTGCAGTGGCATGGGCATCTGTGGAATGGGGAAGTGAGCAAGGGATTAGGGAGATACGTTTAAAGTACACACAGAACCCCTCAACCACCGCTACCATCACTTCAAGGTGATATTCTGCTTACTTTTTAAATTCAACCATTTCCCCCCACCCCTTGTGATTTTTAAAAAATCTGAACATATAGAACATTTTAATAATAACAATGGTTTTATAATTATTATAATTAAATGATTATGTATCATCATTGAATATTACATTTATTCATCTCCAGCTTTGTAAAGGGTCTTGAAGCGACTTATAATTGCAAAAAACATTCAAGTCCAAAGTCCAAAAGGAACATTAAACAGAGGGCCCATCCAGACTTCCTTTGGTGTTGTGTTTCTAGGCACAGGTCTGGGCTTTCCATGTCTGAATACCAGGGGTTGGGGGGGGGAGTTTGGTCCTGGTGCTTCCCCCGGGAAAATCCACATTTTGCTGCTGGATCAGAGCAAACGGCAGTCAAATTTGCAGCAGATTGCCATTTGCTCTGATTCAGCAGTAACGCGCAGGTTTTCCCAGACAAAGTGCTGGGACAAAAAAGGCCACTTGGATGCAGATCTGGAAAACATGGAGCTGTGCCTAGAAAGCACAGAGCAAAGGTACCTGTGGATCAGCCTCCAGGGAAGAGGCAGGGAAGCCTTTTCAACCCAAGATCCACATTACCATGTGTGCAACACCTTACAGGGGCCACATGGTACTGGTGGGTGGGGCCAGAGGCAGATGTAACTTTTACCTTTGTACACAGTACGCTAGTGAAATGCAGAAGTGGATGCAGCAGGAGGCAAAATGTGGGTGGGGCACTGGATGCAACATTTATTTGTGTACAGCAAACTTCTTTGTTGTTGTTTAAAGGTAAAGGGACCCCTGACCATTAGGTCCAGTTGTGACCGACTCTGGGGCTGCGGCGCTCATTTCGCTTTATTGGCTGAGGGAGCCGGCGTACAGCTTCTGGGTCATGTGGCCAGCATGACTTCTGGCGAACCAGAGCAGCGCACGGAAACGTTCTTTACCTTCCCGCTGGAGCGGTACCTATTTATCTACTTGTACTTTGACATGCTTTCGAACTGCTATGTTGGCAGGAGCAGGGACCGAGCAATGGGAGCTCACCCTGTCGCGGGGATTTGAACCGCCGACCTTCTGATCGGCAAGTCCTAGGCTCTGTGGTTTAACCCACAGCGCCACCCGTTGTTTACATCCCCCTTAAACAAAAAGCCAGAGGTTCCCAAAAACCCATACACACCTCTCTGTTTACCGTCCAGGCAAGCAAGAAGGCATTGTTTCAGACAGGCGACAGTACTCTTAACAGAGTGCAACACAGACTGTGCAGAATGCTGAGGGCTTGATAGAAAGGCCTGGAGGGCCACTTTTAGCCCTGGGCCTGAGGTTCCCCAGCTCTGCTCTAAGGGAAACATTCAAAGTGTTTTGAGGCCTATACTTCTCATCAATAAATAAAAGGTAAAGGTAAAGGTACCCCTGCCCGTACGGGCCAGTCTTGACAGACTCTGGGGTTGTGCGCCCATCTCACTTAAGAGGCCGGGGGCCAGCGCTGTCCAAAGACACTTCCGGGTCACGTGGCCAGCGTGACAAAGCTGCATCTGGCGAGCCAGCGCAGCACACGGAAACGCCGTTTACCTTCCCGCTGGTAAGCGGTCCCTATTTATCTACTTGCACCCGAAGGTGCTTTCGAACTGCTAGGTTGGCAGGCGCTGGGACCGAACAATGGGAGCGCACCCCACCGCGGGGATTCGAACCGCCGACCTTTCGATCGGCAAGTCCTAGGCGCTGAGGCTTTAACCCACAGCGCCACCCGCGTCCCCATCAATAAATAACACCACCCAAAAGTGAAGTGGTGATATCACAGGTCACGGCGTTCCTTGCAATACAACTGAAAGGTCAAATTGTTGAAAGAGGCTTACAGCTATTTTGCTGTCCCGCTCATGTTTCACTAGCCTTTGCTTGTAAATTTTATCCTAGGATGAAAGGAAAAGGACCAGTCAGTCAGTTACGGATTGGCAGCTTTCCCCCTTTTCAAAGCCATGCATCAGTACCCAGAGATTCCAATCCCTACATTAGATATAGGTTCTCTTTGTCAATCCCACCACACTCACAATATCTCAGCTACATCAAATCCAAAGAGCAACCATTCTCCTTCTCCCACCTAGCGATGGAAGGATTTCTCCATTTCAGTTCTCTCTGTTTCTCATTTTTTCCAATCTTAAATCCAGTTCGCCACATTTTGCAGCAATCTTCAGGGGCTTGTTTGCTTATTTTTAATATATATATATATATATATATGCAGGTTTTGGTGTCCTCGGGTGTCTTCCCGTGTAAAAGTTGGGGTGTCTAGGCGACGTTTCGACGAGGTCTCACTCGTCATCTTCAGGCTGGTGCTTTCGGCTTCTTGTTACTGGAACAGAAGCCGAAAGCACCAGCCTGAAGATGACGAGTGAGACCTCGTCGAAACGTCGCCTAGACACCCCAACTTTTACACGGGAAGACACCCGAGGACACCAAAACCTGCATTCCTGTACCCGTGAAAATCTACGAAAGCAAATATATATGAAAACTCACCAGCATTTTAGTATGCAGTTTGGACTAATGCACACGTTTTTACAAACAATTTCCCTCTATCTAATGCATTCTTGTATGTCCTTTTCATGAATACATTTGTTTGTACGCTGACTTTCTCCTAATAGAAGCATTTTTTGCAAACACTGGTTGGAGAATTGCACTGCAAAAATTCAGGTAATCGCAAGCTTTGAAGGAGATCCGTGCTTCAGTTTGTATATTGTTCTCAGAAACAGCAAATTGGATAGATTTGTATTTAAATGAAATCAAATTTCTCCCCCATCCCTCCTCCCCACCTTAAATCTGGATGACAGATTTTGCTGCCTGAGGAAGAAAACCCAACTGTGGCCTTCCCCAATGGCGTTAAGTATCGAATCTGCCACCAGTGAGCGGCCTCTGTTAACAAGGGTTGTCTGTTTAAGAGCACAGTCCATCTTTTTTCCCTTCCCTCTAGAGGAACCCATTGCTCCATTGTCTTAGCTGCATCTACACACACCTGAGTAAGCTGGCCCACGTGATACCCATGTTGGTGGGCCACCTTCCAGTGGCTTATTTTTTGCCCCATGTTCCAGACAGAGCTTCCTGTGTGAAGTGAGGAAACAAGGCGTAAGAAGCTGAACATAGGGTAAGGACGGGCAAACATGTCCATTTTGGTTTCTCATTATTCCAGTCTTAAGCTGAGTTCTCCACATTCTCCTCATCAGTTCACCAACTAGTTTTTTTTGTTTTTCATCCTGAAAATTCACCAGTGTTTTTAGTGTGGATGTCTCCTAATATACACAATTCCCACACAAACTCCAAATTTCCATCATAGGACATACTCAGCCATGAAACTCACTGGGTGATCTTGGGGCCAGCCACAGTCTCTCAGCCTAATCTACTTCACAGGATTGCTATGATAATGAAATGGGGAGGAAAATAACCATTTATGCCACTTTGTGCTCCTCAGAAGAAAAGTGGCATATAAATGCACACATGACCCTAGATATGCATTTTTCTCAATTCCATCAAAATCAGGGGCATGGTTGCTGGTGACAAGAAAGGGAGCCTTTTCTGTGGCTGCTCCCAGATTGTGGGATTTCTGCCCAAGAGCAGCTAGACTGATTCTCTCCTTGTTATCTTTCACCAGCAGGCTAAGACCTTCCTGTTCAGACAAGCTTTTGAAAACTAAGATGCAGACAATGCTCATCACTAGGTTGCTGTAAGCCGCCCAGAGTGGGGTATAAATATAATAATTGATGGGGAAGAAGAAGAAGAAGAAGAAGAAGAAGAAGAAGAAGAAGAAGAGGAGGAGGAAGGAGGAGGAGGAGGAGGAGGAGGAGGAGGAGGAGGAGGAAGAATATTGCTGCTAGGGCAATCTATCTTTTATTTGCTGGTTCTAAATGTGGTTTGTTGTATTTCAACTAATGTTTTTAACTCGTTTGTTTTCATTAATTTGTATTAAGTGTTAAGATGCTGAATCCCAACTTGGGAGAAAGGCAGGATATAAATACCTTAAATAAATAAAATTAAATAATTGTACGCATTATTTGACTGGGGGTCTGCATGGCAAAATTCAGAATGCAGAAGGATGGGTGAATTTGGGTTCATCTGTTGTTTCAAATTCAGGATGAATTTTGCCCTAAAGCACTAGTAGATTTTCAGGAGAAGTCTGGGAGGGGGAGGGGCAGGCCCATTCACTTATCTAGGGGCCCTTCTCAACAGCGGAGCAAGCCAATCGGGTGCCTGGGGTGGCACATGTGCCTTGTGCCAGGGGCAGGGCCAGCTGCCCGTGGGGCGGGGCAAGCTGGGGCAGGACGCTCTGTGGGGCCTCCAAGGAGTCTGCCTGCCTCCTCCCACTCAGCCACTCTACAGCTGAGGGGGAGGCGGTGGGTGGACCATTTGGGGCAGAGTGGAGCCTGCAGGTGCCCAAGCCACCATGTCATTCCCAGGAGAGACGCATGGCTCGGGCACACTGCAGGCCCCGCAGTGAGTGTCGCCCAGCATTTTGTCACCCCCCTCAGTGCTGACACCCGGGACAGCCTGCCTCTACCGCACCCCCTTCCTCCGCCCCTGGTCCTTCTCCCACTCCGGTGATACAACCTCACCTACAGTTGAAGGCAAGGATTCACCCTTCTCTGTGCCATCCTTTGCAGCTGCTTCAGGCTGTTGGGCAGGAGTTTAAGAGTTTAGGAGCAAGAAGAGGAGGTAAAGAAATCTGTTAACTAAAAATCACTATATAGGTAGGGCTGCCATACATCCAGGTTTCCCTGGACATAGCATTCAAGCAGAATTTTCAAAAATTGATAAAATGTCCAGGAAAACATGGGCATATGGCAATCCATGTTGGAAGTATTGTTTTTTTGGCAAATATCCTTAAAAATAGCTGGAAAATGTCAAGTTTTCTGGAGATTTTGCAACAACTCAATAGCTCAACAACAGCAATAGCTCAACAACTTCTGTGTCTGAATTTTCAGTTTTTGAAATATGGCGACCCTAATCCAGGTCAAGGCAGACCAACATCAGAAAGACAGCTATAACAACATTTAGCATTTGCACTAGTTCACTCATAATGTTCAAAACACTTCACAGGTCTTACCTGCAGCGTGATATTTCCAAGGACCATAGAAGACAGGTCAGTATGATTAGCCCCACATTGCGGGGTGAAGGGTGGCTGGCCTAATAAGGCCACTGCCCTACCCTCACTTCTAGATGAAGTACTCTGACTCATGTTTCTGCTTCTGCCAAATTATTTAACACAGAAATTTGAACGATACATAGGCAAGGCAGGGGTTAAAGGCACAGCAGGCACGGGCATAGCCAGAGGGGCAACTGGCCCCCCATCAAGTAAATAAATAAATAAAGACTTAACTAAAAGTAGAAATTGTAGAAAGATTTTGACATTTTCCTGAGCACTTGGGGCCAAAAGAAAGTACCGTATTTTTCGCCCTATAGGACGCACTTTTCCCCCTCCAAAAATGAAGGGGAAATGTGTGTGCGTCCTATGAGGCGAATGCAGGCTTTCCCGGGCTTCCTGCAGCTCTGCGCCACCCTCCGGATCCCGGCGCGAAGCCGCGCGGGGCTCCGGAGGGTGGCGTAGAGCTGCCTGCGCTCCAGGGCTTCCTGCAGCTCTGCGCCACCCTCTGGATCCCGGCGTGAAGCCGCGCGGGGCTCCGGAGGGTAGCGCAGAGCTGCCTGCCTTCCAAAGCCTGGTGCGCGCTGAAGAGCGCGCCCAGGCTTCGTGCACCTCTCCGCAAGCCTGGGGAGACCGGCGCGGCTCCCTAGGCTTGCAGATAGCAGGCTGTTCTGGGGGCTGGGGTCGGGGGAAGCTCGGGCTTCCCCCGCGCCTGCCCCGTGCCTGGGGAGGGAATTTTTTTTCCCCTTTATTCCCCCCCCCCAAAAAAATTAGGTGCGTCCTATGGGGCGGTGCGTCCTATGGGGCGAAAAATACGGTGCCGGTAATTTAAAACAACTGTTACTGAGACATTTCATTCTAAATCTGCTAGGCAGACAGAAGATGATGACAGGTGGCCCACCCTGGCAACATACCATAAATCCTGACTACGCCCATGACAGCAGGTGAATTGTGAGCTGAGATAGATGTTGAGCCAACAAACTACCTGCCCCCTGTCTCTTTCCTTTGAAGAGCGAGGCAGGTCCCAAGCTTCAATGTGGCAAGCTTTTGAGCACTGGCATCATGTGCTGATGATCGTCTGTCCCCATCAGCTGTCTCTAAAGGGCTTTGAAAATGGTTCAGAATATTGAATTATATGTTGCAATTGCCTCAACCCGTGCCTGCTGTGTTCACTGCCACCTCCTCAAGTTAGGAAGAGGCAGCAGTGGATGCCACATGGCTTGCATTAAAACTTAGCATGCTCAAATATCTGCAGAGGGACCACTATTGATCCCTGTCCTTCACCTCCTATGCAACTGGCTTGGTCTATAGCAGGGCAGAGCAGTCTTTCCTATTGGGCTTACTAGTGCATTGCGCCTGGGCGCTGGCTTCTCAGAGGCACTCCAGCGAGTGGGGGAGCTGTGCGGCTTTGCAGGAGGCCTCCCCTTTCCCTGCATGCCCGCTAGCTATGCCCTGTCAACCATATGGTTGGCAGGCGTGCAGCTTCCTTCCCAAGCCTCCGCAGGAGGAGAGCGATGCCTGCAGAGGCTTGGGGAAAGGTCGACAACTCTGGGAAGGGGGGGGGCAGAGGGATCTTTGAACCACGACGCCGGATATGCTTAAGACGGCCCTGTAGCAGGGGTCCCCAAACTTGGGGCTCCAGCTGTTTTTGGATTACAACTCCCATCACCCCTAGCTAGCAGGACCAGTGGTCAGGGATGATGGGAATCGTAGTCCAGCTGGAGACCAAAGTTTGGGAAACCCAGAGCTAGGCGAACCAGTATTTTGACTTGGTAGAAGACAGTTTCCTATGTTCCTGCCATACGAGGATCCATTCAAGGCCGGCAAAAGCCCTCAAGGATGCCAGCCTAGATGTGCCTTTGGTCTGATCCAGTCTTTTCTTCTGTTTACATGCTACACCAGGCTTGCCAAGAAGGGCCACACATAACCATCCTACCAGCAAGATTTTCATGGGCTTGGTGGCCACAGGAAATGCCTAGTGTCACACTCTCTGGAGGCTGGGTCCAAGCAGCAGGTGGACAGTCCTCCTGAATACCGAAAGCTTACAGTTCTCTGCACTCCCTACCTTCCTTTTTCCCCCAGGAGAGGTCTCAAAGGGCACTGTCTTGCTACTGCAGGAAATGATGAGGAGGAGAAAGAGAGATCCAGGGTTAGAGTTGACAGGCTGTAGGAGAAGGTTCATAGATTATGGGGAGAGGGGAGGCAAAGCCACCTTTGGTCAATGTTGTGGTGCTAGAGCACTTGCTCAGCATGCAGAAGATCCCAGGTTCATTCTCCAGCATCTCCAGGTAGGACTGGAAGAAACCCCCACCTGAAACCCTGGAGAGGCAATTGTAGGCAATATTGCACTAGATGGACCTACAGTGTGGGCCAATGGGGTAGTTGTTTGGGGTGGCAAATTTGAGGAGGCGTTGCATTGTGACTGGGGAGAGATAGATAGGAGGAGGACAGAAGAGCCTCCCTGATCCTCTCTTCAAGAGGTACCAGCTGCATGCCACCCCTGGAGTGGCTCTTACTCCTTCCAGAAAGGCCACTATATTGTGAGAGATGAGTTTGTACACAGCTCTCTCATCTCTAGGGGCAATAAATATTTTCTGCCCAGGGGCAAGGGACACAATAAATACTTGTGGTCTCTAACTCAGTGTAAAGGATATTATCTTTCATTATTATTTATTCATTAAATTTGTGTATCTCAGGACTCCTCTCTGTCTGAGTCTGCGCTCATACTGCGACTCTCAGCCTCTACACCCCCCACAATTGCTCAAACCACCTGCTTCTAGCACCTCCCAGCTCGTCCCTTCCCCAGATTGCTCCCCAGTGTCCCACCACCATGATCCAGGATCTAAGTTGCTATCTTCTGTGTCCTCCCCGGGGGGCGGGGGGGGTTCTAAGGCAGGCAGCTCCCACCACTCTTCCTCATCCAGCCGGTCCTTGACACTTGAGGAGTTCGCCTTCCCTGCGCCCTGTGCTTTTTGGCAACACTGGCTGGCGCATCTCTGCCACAAATTTGAAAGTAGGCGCAGCATTCCAAGGTCACCCTCACTTGGATTCATACCTTGAAGAATGGAGGTCCGTTTTCTTTGACTCATCCTTCTCTTCCTGCAGTGACATTTATAAATTAGAGGGTGACTCTCCAGCAAAAAAAAAAAAAAGTACAATGGTACCTCGCAAGACGAATGCCTCGCAAGACAAAAAACTCGCTAGACGAAAGGGGTTTTTGTTTTTTGAGCTGCTTCGCAAGATGATTTTCCCTATGGGCTTGCTTCGCAAGATGGAAACATCTTGCAAGTTTGTTTCCTTTTTCTTAACACCATTAATACAGTTGCGACTTGACTTCAAGGAGCAACTCATAGAACGCGGTGTGGTAGCCTTTTTTGAGGTTTTTAAAGTCTTTGGTTATTTTTGAAGCTTTTCCAAAACTTGCCCGACACCGTGCTTCGCAAGACGAAAAAAATCGCAAGACGACAAAACTCGCGGAACGAATTAATTTCATTTTGCGAGGCACCACTGTAATTTAATCAAGGCAAGACTTTGAGAGCAGGAGGGGTTTCCCCTCCAAAGGGCTGGCTTATTGTATTTTGAAGTGAATGAAGCAATACACGCACAATATAAAGCAGAGGTGACGAACCTGGTGCCCTCCAGGTTTTGCTGGACTACAACTCCCATCTTCCCTGACAACTGGCCAGGCTGGCAGGAGCTGATGGGAGCTGAGTGTCCAATGATATCTGGAGGGCCACAATTTAGCCAACATGGGGCTCATAAGACCATAAAAGCACAGAGTCTAATATTAGCCAACTGCATCACTCATCTCTATCCCAACCAATGGATAATTTGGGCAAAAAAGAAGAAGCAAAGACCTGATACCATGGAATCAAAGAGTTGGAAGGGACCCTGAGGATCATCAAGTCCAACCCCCTACAATGCAGAAATACGCAGCTGTCCCATACGGGGATCGAACCTGCAACCACACTCTAACCAACTAAGCTATCCAGGCATATTCCCTTACACACTTTCCCCCTGTCTGCCACCCAACACATCTTAAAGAGATGGAGGGTCCACCTTGGAAAATTACAACTATTGACCTTCAAAGTGCCTCCCCCCCACCCCCACCCCCCCGACCAGCAATCCAAATATGCTGGGCAACCCACCATTCAGGGATGAAAGATAAACAAGAATAAGCGCCCTACCTCATCGTCAGATAAATCCTGGCTCAGGATCTGAGTTAACCTTTAAAACAGAGAGAAGGTCCTGTTCAGAGAAACATCCTATTTTCCAAGAGAAAGCACACTGGGAAAGAGGTGGTCTACAACAGAAATTTGAGAGGATGGCTTGTCTCCTGTCTGTCAAGATACCTCATAATGTTCACTGATTGCCTTTTCCTGGCCATTCTGGGCCATTCTTTTGAAATTGTGAATACCTTGACTCCAGCATCCATTTTCACAGATAAATGTATAGATATCTGCTCTTTTGACAAGTCTGCTTGGAGAGTTATCAATACTTGCTATAGCAGTTTCACAAAGGGGAGTCTCGTGAATAATGTGCTGCTTTGCGACTGGAGGAGTCTTGAGGCTGACTAGGGGTCAGACATGGCTGCTTTATTGCTCTCTGTACTAGTTCAGTGCAAGTTTTACTGGTAAAAGTGTCATTTCACTAAGAAATTGGTGGATTCACTGAGAAATAGGGCTAAGTGAAAATAACCACTGTAAATAGGCACATCTGGATACTAAGTTACCTTTTAACTGAATTATGTTGCAAAGGCCATTTGCAGAAGGGCTCCGGGCTCTGGCAATCCACGCTATGCCACTGTCCTTCCCTTCTGCCCCCCAGCAATTCCACTGCCACCGTGCACCAAACTCACTGGGAGATGGGGCGCTTCCTCAAAATATTGCCGCTTGGCTTCTCCATCCCTGTTCTGGGGCAGGGAACTGATTGGCAACATGGCACTCAGGAATGCCCCAGCACTTGCTGAACTTGGCAGGGGCCTGGGTGCTCCTCAAAGCATTGTCGTTTGGCTTCTCACCATGGTTTTGGAAGATGATCAGCAGCACCATGTAGCGGAACGCTTCCCTCTTGGTGGCAGAAGTGATGGGGCAGGCAGAACACCACCTCTTTTACTTCCACCACCTGAGATGGGTTTCTTCAGTCCACCTCATGGGCGGGGTGTCTCTGCTTATACTGAACACATATGGAAGGGCCACAAGCTCCCTACCCCTGCCCTTGGTTCTTGCCAACATTTCTGCACATTGCCATGGATTTGAAAGTACCCACAGTGTTCCAGAGCATTTCTGCTTTTGTACCTTGAGTCTTTCAGGGACAGCTGATGCCTCGTTTTCATTTGCTGCAATAACAGGGATACATTAGAAGGCACATATGCTCCACCCCAGAAACTGCTCGCTGCATCATCATCATCAAATTAAATTTATATCCTGCACTTCCTCCCAAAGAGTCTACAAACAATCACACACGCTCACAGGTAATACTTTCAAGGTTGCCAGGAACAGAAACTTTCAAATGCCTGGGCAACCAGGAATGTTTTATAATTCCTCCCAAAAGTTGCTAAAGAGAGGGGAGGGTATCCACAAATGGGGAACCATCACTGAAAAGGCCCTATCATGGGCCAATGCCCGCTGGGCAGCACTCAGCAGTGAGGCAGCACCACCAGGGTATCCCTTCTGGTCATAGGGCTCAAGGTGGATGATATTGGGAAAGGCACTCTCTTTTGCTAGTACTAATATTTTTAATTGGGCCCCATAGTTCACTAGCAGGTGTCAGGGAACTGCCATCGGAGCCTAGAGTGGAGGTAAGGCTCCCCAACGATGCAGGAGAAGGGATCAGCAGGGGGAGAGAGAACACTTCCTTTGAGGAACACACCAGGAAGCAAGGGGGGACTGCGGAGAGAGGGCTCCAAGACTCTTCCACAGAGACCAGCGGGGAGAGCCCAGGACCTCCGTTGGGCATGCCCACTCTGCGCAGGAAACTTCCACGCAGGGAGGCTAGGCGGAGACTTGGCGTCAAAGAGTTTCTATGTTGGAAGAAGTTCAGGAAACGCCCACTGACGGATACTGCCAGCGACTGACACAGCCATGGAGAAAGGGCTGTCCAGTCAGGGAAAGGTTTAGCCAGGCAACGTTGCCTAGAACAGTAGCACCCTTTACGCACAAGCAACCCCAATTCCCTTTACAGCAGGGAATGCATCATTTTTGGGGCTGGTGACAAAATGGTCCCACGGAGCTGCCCCACTTGCCTATCTAACAGCTGCACCCTACACTAGCTGCAGCCTTCATATAGTCTCCAAGGGCAGCCTTGCACAGAGTGCATTACAGTAGTCCAGATAGGAGGTCAGCAGAGCATGATCAGCTGAGGCCAGTACCCAACTCTGTGAACGTTCACTAAAGCCTTCAACTGTTTGGGATCTGAATCCTTGAAGGACTATCTGCCTTCCCATGAGCCTGTCCACACATTGTCTGGTAATTAGGGTGGCCTTGCTCTCTGAGTCTCTGCTACCTGAAAATGTGGAAGGCAGGGAAATGCAGAGATACATAGTTTCTCTTCAGGGGCACATAGGCTGTGGAACTCTCAGCTCCATGAGAGTACATTACTTTCCAAAGCACATTTAGGGATAATGTTTTTGGACATGCTTTTTATGGGGGGGGGGGCGGGGAATGCTTTTTAGGAACTGATTTATCTGCAGTTAACTTTGGATAATATTGGCTTCTGGTTTTATTTTATTTTTATTTTTTTAATGCTGCTTTCCTTCTGCAGGTTTTTGTTTCCTGGTTTTCCTGGTGTATGATGAGATTGTTTGAGGGTCTGAAAGTCCTACGCAGCATGGAAGGAGCAGGATACGAATTCTAAATCACACACACACATGCACCCCCCACCCACTTCCTGTCTCCCAAATCTCTCTATATTGTATCTTTTGCAACCTCCAGCTTGCAACCCCACTGTACCACTAAGTCACCATGTGTCCATAAGGAATACCCTTGCTAGACCAGAGCAAATGGCAGCCGAGTGGTGAAGATAAACCTACCGGTATTTAGCTCTTGCTTTTGACACCTGTGTTTTCAGGACCCCCCTACTCCTGCAACTGTCATTATTGTGTGTGCAGTGTATTTTTACTGAGTTTTTAAAAACCCTAAACATAAAATCAATGGCATAATAACAATAATTTTCATAACCAAGTCTGAAATTGTCTCATAATAAAGATGGGGGAGAAGGCAAAGAAAAACAAAGAACAATCACTGGGCAAATGTAAAAAAAAACAACCCCACAATCTTCAGGGATCATATCCAGTAAGAATAACAAAAGAAACCTGATTTATATTGCAGTTTCATGAAATGGGGGTACAAAAAATATATGAAAAGGTATGTAAAGAGAAAAATAACAAAATGAAAAGCTTCGGATTAACCACATTGACTGTTATTTGTTTTCAGAGTTTTTAATTCTGGATTTTAAATATTGTTTTAACTTGCCTTGGAAACTGATGGTCAATGGCAAGTAATAATGTTGTTGTTGTTGTTAGTCCTTCACCTGGCTTGCCTTCTTGATTTTTAAATGAAAAGGCAGAGGTGCCTGGTGCATATTGTGACTGGCAGGGCACAACGCAGCCAGCCCATCAGTAGATAACACCAGAGCCAATGGCAGGCACTGACTGAGCTAACTAATTCTAGCTTTGATCCCATCTTCCTCCTCCCTGATGGGTTATACAAGGGGCAACGCTGAGACTAGGAAGGAAGAAGCTGACTGATGGAGCCACCTCCCATAGTCAGGTTCTAAGGAGGAAGGAAGGCAGGCAGGTGGGGACTGGCTGAGAAGTTGGTGGGGCAGGGCCTCCTTTGCTCTACAGCATGTCAAGGGATCCCATGGTTCATGGATGAGAGTGAAGAACAAAGATAAATTGAGATGCCTACCTGGGTGCTGGGCGGCTCAGAGCTGAGCAGTTTAGCTAACCTTTAAGAAAGAAAGTACCATAAGTCCAGGTCAAAAATCTGTCCTGTTGCCCAAGAGCTTCCATCTCTATTGTGGCCAGTAGAGTTGTAGCAATTTCAAAAGTTCAGGGCCCCTACATGATAGTCACAGTCACGTCCCCTTCTAAAATGATACAACCTTCTAAGATTATACAGCAATCTTATACTCATACAATAATAATACATAGGGGTCCTTCTCCTAGATGGAGAGTGGAGTTCCATAGGGGTTTGGATGCCTCCTTCCAGCAACTCCTGCAGCCAAGCTGGTGCCAAATGTATTGATTTGCTTTGCTTTGGAAAATATCAGCGTGGCCAAGAGAGAGGTCTTGTTGTCTGGGTAGTCCAGGACCTCCATACACACTGCCAAGGCTCATGTCCCAGAGAGAACAAATAGGGATATAGTGCAATGATTCATGTGTTGTCTTTAAGCTAGTTCTACTATTTTCTGGGCACACATACAGGCAATGGTTGTGTTCCAGTATCTTCTTTTGGAGTGAATTAAGTTGACTTAAGTTGTGTTTCCCTTTCATGGTACGTAACAGAACTTGCACACCATTCTCTGGAAACTAAAGCACCTTGGGATTTCAGTCTTCCTAAATGCTTAGATTTGGAGCCTATATAGAACGATTCTTCCCCAGTGTCCTTCCCACGGCACCTTCTCCAGTGGAGCCAATCCTCAGTGGCTGACTCTCCTTTCACTCTGATTGGCGCCAATCAGCACAAAAAGTGATAAGACTGCTTCCCAGTAACTAAGGAAGCTCCCCCTTCATGCTGATTGGGAGATACCACAGGGAGGCTTTGTTCTCCCCTAATGCTTTTGGCACCCCTCCCGCCCCACCAGATTTGAAAGTGGTTGTACCAGCCCATGATTATCCCTGTTTCATACCTTGGATGCATATTCTTTCTCTTATACTTTTCTGGCACATCTGAAGCTTTCTGCAATAACATTTATAGATTAGAAGGGACACTCTATCAGGAGTTAGCTCCACCCCACCCCTCAGTGACAAAACCCACACAATTTGGCTCGCTGTCTGCTATGGCAAAATTTCAAGTAATGAATTACATTATTCCACACCTTTCCCAATGCATATTGGTGGTGGTGAACTGAAAACTATGACAGTGAATACCAATTGTATTATCTGTTTTGATTTCCATCCTGGATATGAAACAAGTAAGCAAACATTGGCGATCCTCCCCGCCCCCGTGTGCGGTGTAGTGGTTAAGAGCGATAGACTCGTAATCTGGGGAACCGGGTTCGCGTCTCCGCTCCTCCACATGCAGCTGCTGGGTGACCTTGGGCCAGTCACACTTCTTTGAAGTCTCTCAGCTCCACTCACCTCACAGAGTGTTTGTTGTGGGGGAGGAAGGGAAAGGAGAATGTTAGCCGCTTTGAGACTCCTGAAGGGGAGTGAAAGGCGGGATATCAAATCCAAACTCTTCTTCTTCTTCTTCTTCTTTTCATTTGAGTTCTCTGACAGCCCAGCCCCTCACTACACCCTGTCTGCTCCCTCAACACCAGTAAATGCAGCACAGAGCCATATGAGTGGTCCTCTTCTCAAACCTGCCCATCCCACTACAGCTTGTCCCTTATAAGTCCAGTATTGAGCTCCACTATGACCTTTGCACATGACAAAAAACTATGGTTTGCCTCAACATGCCTCTCCCCACTACCTTGGTTTATTTCTCATTTGCTGTTCATGGATTGCTGGGGTGGGGGGTGACAACATATGAAGGGGAAATGGTGGGGTCACTACCATCCAGAAGCACAGTTCACTGATGCACAGTCAAACGTCCCAGAATAAAATGTTTAAATGCAGACCAAGAGGTTAAATGCAAAGGGATGGGGGATTATGTAGAGCAGCATTCCCCTCCATGGCAGGGAGAAGTATTAGGAAGGGAGGTTCTTTGAACCTATGAAAGAAACAGGATAACAGGAACCCTGCCATTAAACAGAGCAGTTAGTTACTGAGAGCCAGTGTGGCATAATGGTTAGAGTGTTGGCATAGGACATGGAAGAGCAGGGTTCGAATCCCCACTCTGCCATGAAGCTAACTGGGTAACCTTGGGGGCCACTCACCATCTTTTAGTCTAACCTAGCTCACAAGGTTGTTGGTTGTTGTGAGGATGAAATGGGGAGGAGGAGAACCATGTACACCACCTTGAGAGCCTTGGAAGATAAAGGTGAGATATATAAAATACTGAGCCTATAAATGAGAGAGGAGCTTTTGATCTCAACAGAGACAGATGCTCACCAGGTATATTTTGTTTTGTTTTTTAAGAAGCAGCACCCTGAGGTTCTGAAAGCATCCAGGAAGCTTAGGGATGGTGGGGGTAGAAAGTAAACCCTCAAATTATGATCCAGGTTTGGACAACGTTGGAGAGTTTTTGCCTAGATAGGATGTCTCCTTGAACTAATACCTCCTGCTTGCCTGGAGGGAGGACAGAGAGGGGTGTGTGAGTGTGTAGGTAGAGACTAGCCTACTGTACAAAGGAGCTTTCTTTGCTCCACCCACTTTGGCCTCTAGCCATGCTCACCTGTGGCATGTAGCCCCACAAAAATTGCTTAGAAGGGAACACTGAAAAAGGAGTTCCCCACTTGTGTCTTAAGGAGATTGGCAGAGCCTCCAGGTCAGCCCCTGGCATCACTCCCTGACATTTAAAGGTGCTTTAGCTTAACATTCAACAGTGATGGAACAAATCAAGATTTGAATGCACAGACCTACCAATTTCTTCTGGAAAGTAGGAAGATCCCGCATGATTCTCTGAGTTAACCTTGAAGAAAAAGAGACGGCTCAGGTTAAAGTCACATCTTGTTGCTTGGGGGAAAGTGGGGACTAGTCAGGTTGGGCCATCACTGTTAGGGGCAGGGTGCCTGGTGGGGCTGCCGCCTGGGGGCTTCTGCTGCCTGAGGTAGCCACCTCAAGCTGCCTGGCTCTGGAGGCAGAACATAGCCATTGTGGCTGGTAGCCCTTGATAGCCTTACTCTCCATGAATTTGCCTAATCCCCTTTTAAACCCATCCAAATTGGTGGCCACCGCTGCCTGTCAGGGGAGAGAATTCTATATAACTATGCACTGTGGGAAGAAGTGCTTTATTTTGTCTGTCCTGAATCATTCAGCCCAACCCATCTTGAGATTGTTTCAACTACCTTGGAATTGTGTGTGTGTTTGTGTAAAAAGCATTGATGAACTCCATAAGTGGTAGGTTCCTGATATGATAATCCCTGGTGGCAGGGGAGTTATCCCCAAAATTGTATTAGTGCTGACTGGCTAAAAGCCTGTAGCTGTGGAAACTGATCTGCTTCCCCTGGCACTGCTAATGGTTTGCCTTCTAAGGCTGTTTCAGGAAACATGGATGCTAACTGGAGAGAGGGCGAGACTGTGGGCCAGGATTAGTTTGCTCTGACCCTGCCCGATGGATGCAGGAAGGGAATTGCTTGTTGAGTGATGACCACATGGAATTTTAATTTTGGCATGTTTGTGTCTCCATGGTCAGAAGCAGGGCTAGTGGAGGCCAGCCCATTAGGGCAAATGGGGCATTGCCCCACCAACCTCAGTCTACCAACAGCCAGCCCCCACCAGCCTGCCTCCTTACTTACAACCACTCTAGGTGGCAATGCCGCCAGCCTCCTCTTCCTTAGCTTCAGTTGCCCTTGTGAAATTTAGCAGGGAGGACGAGGATGGAGACAAAACTAGAATTAGTTGGCTCCACCTGCCATTGACACTGGTGCTGCCACCTGTTGGGCTCCCTGTATTCCACCCTACCAGTCCCCAATGGGCAGGATCCATGACTGAGCACCCAATGGCCACCTTCCCACAAACGCTGCTGGGAGTTTTTAATTCCAAATCAGAGGGAGTACTAGCCCTTCCCCTTGTCCGGAGATCTCTTGGGTTTCCTGGGCAAAGCGAAGGGCGAGGCTCGGGCCCTCCTCTGAGCTTTCAGAAGCTTGGCCTTGGATGGAGGCATGTGGCAAACTCAGGAGCTGCCTCTGGGGCTGTTGAGTGTCTGAAGCCACTGCCACTGTTGCTTTTTAGGGCGTGCAGTACTTGCCTCGCTCCAGGTGCTGGCAACCCACGCTATGCCACTGCCTAGATGGAGCAATTATCTGACTCAGTAGAATACAGTTTCCTACATGTCTATGTTCCTACACTCTGGGAGCTTCCAGACAGCCTGTTTATTGGGCATTTATCCTAGATTGTTTGCCCGGAGATTAGACAATGCTGTCTATTTAATGAGCATTCTTTCCCATTTGTTTGTGCAAAGGTTAGACAACATTGCCCCAAAGCAACTGTTATTCAACACGTGCCAGTGCACTTCTCTTATTTTAAAAAGTCCCGTCTTTGGGGGAACAAGATTTGTCACACAAGAGCTTCCAATCGCACAACCTGGATTTGCTGGGATGTGAATGCACCCCACCTGGAAACTAGAAAAGCTCTTGAAGCATTCTCTGTCCTATGTCAATCAGGTGAGTTAGTCATTGCACAGGGCTTGGTGTGTGTGTGGGGGGTCTTACTTAGCAAAGTAACCAGGTGGTCCAATTTCCTCCAGCGGTTTCTCTCCGATCTCTATTATTTTCTGTAAATTGAAGTTTAAAAAGTTTTAAAAGCACACCCAATGTGCACTCTCAACCCAGCCTCTTATGAGAACCAGAGGTGATGGGGAACTCCACTTCTTGCCCAGCTTTCTTACCTCTTTGTGTTTAGCCCACAGGCTTCCAGCACTAGATGGTCTGAAAGAGCAGCAAAAAAGTGGGGGGGGGGAGAGAAAAGAAGCAGAGTTCAGGTAATAGAAAGTACTCAGGTTGTGTGTGGAAGTCACCCACTCTGCATGCAAAAGGTCCCAGTTTCAATCCCTAATGAATCTCCAGGTAGGGTTGGGAAAGGCTTGCTGCCTGAAACTCTGGAGAGCCACCATCAGTCACTCTAGACCAGGCATGGCCAAACTTGGCCCTCCAGCTGTTCTGGGACTACAACTCCCATCATCCCTAGCTAACAGGACCAGTGGTCAGGGATGATGGGAATTGTAGTCCCAAAACATCTGGAGGGCCAAGTTTGGCCATGCCTGCTCAAGACAATACTGAGTTAGATGAACCCAGTGGTCTGACACAGTAACTGGTAGCTTCCTAGAACTTAAGCATTGCATTTGAAGGGCAGTGCCGCAGATCAGCAGCAAGAGCACCTGTTTTGCATGCAAAGGATCCCAGATTTAACAACAACAACAACAACCCATCCATCTGGCAGGGGTTCCCCAGCCATTCGGTGTTGCCACCTCCAGGTAATACAGTATTTGTCGAACGGCTTGGCTCCCAAACAAATAGGCTCCCAAACACTGCAAACCCAGGAATGTTCTGGTTTGCGAACATTTTTTGGAAACCAAATGTCTGACTCGGCTTCTGATTGAGTGCAGGAAGCTCCTTGGTTTTCAAATGATTCCAGGAGTCGAAGGGACTCCTGGAACAGATTAAACTTGACAACCAAGGTACCACTGTACTGGTAATATAAGAATTAGGAATTCAAGGTGTATATTTTTTATTTTAATAATGTTGCAGTATTTTGCTTTTAGTTAGAATGCATGAAAGAAAAGGTTTGCTTTCTGTGCGACGGTTTTGTAGGCCTGCATTTCACAACCCTATGCTCTTTCGGTCATAAGCAAGAAATCTTATCTAGCCCTGTGAGCCCTGAGAGTGGCACAAACACAAGGTCCCCCAGGATGTTATTCTAAATCTACCACGTGTTAATCAAAAATCCTTGAAGTTTCCTGAAAGATAGAAGGAGGAACGTCAATAGAGACGGATCATGAGCTAGGTTGCCAGGGTAACGTGTGACGTCCCAAACCTAAAATGGTCAAATGACCTAGGCATTTCTGGTCATCACAAGGTAATTAGGGGGTGAAGCTGATAGAATGGAGCCATATGTGTTTTGCTTCTCATTACATGTAACCCTTCCTGACATAGGTTTGAGAATGCTTAGATGTTTTATGATTCTTTGCTTGCTGTGTTTGAACTATTATATAAGGTTTTGTTCTGATGTGCCTTGGGATAGACCTTTTTAACTGGCTCTGTCCTAAACACTGGGTCCCTCCTGGATGATGGACTTGAATTAGTTTCCTTGGTTCCATGGTTTATTTAAAAGGTGGTACCTCACCTGGGTTTTCCCAGTAGTGATGTATGGAAGTGAGTAAAGCCATGGTTTTCCCAGTAGTGATGTATGGAAGTGAGAGCTGGACCATAAAGAAGGCTGATCGCCGAAGAATTGATGCTTTTGAATTATGGTGCTGGAGGAGATTCTTGAGAGTCCCATGGACTGCAAGAAGATCAAACGCATCCATTCTTAAGGAAATCAGACCTGAGTGCTCACTGGAAGGACAGATCGTGAAGCTGAGGCTCCAATACTTTGGCCACCTCATGAGAAGAGAAGACTCCCTGGAAAAGACCCTGATGTTGGGAAAGATGGAGGGCACTAGGAGAAGGGGACGACAGAGGATGAGATGGTTGGATAGTGTTCTCGAAGCTACAAACATGAGCCTGACCAAACTGCGGGAGGCAGTGGAAGACAGGAGTGCCTGGCGTGCTCTGGTCCAGGGGGTCACAAAGAGTCGGACACGACTAAACGACTAAACAACAACAACAACACCTCACCTGGGTAATGAACAAGGTGGTGTAGAAGTGAATTCTTACCACACTGGGAAAGCCTAAGACCTTTGATAGCCCCTGCCAGTCAGTATAGACTAGACCAGTGTTTCCCAACCGGTGTTCCGCGGCACACTACTGTGCCGTCAGACATTGGCTGGTGTGCCGTGGGAGGGAGGCGGGCGAGTCGGGCGGTGAGGGGCGGTGAGAGGCGGCGGCGGCGAGGATCCGCGTCGAGCCGGGGGCGGCTCCGCGGTGGTGGTGCCGAGCGGCGGGGCAGCGCGTGCAAAAGGGAGGAGCGCGAGACAGCGGAGGAGGAGGAGGCCGGCATGTCCGGGCAGCAGCAGCAACAGCAGCAGCAGCAACTCCCGGCGACGGCTCCTCAAGCCCCGCCGCCGCCCCCTCCTCCGCCCGCTATCGCCGCCACCACCACAACAGCCGCCGCCGCCTCAGTTGCCGCCGTCCCTCAGTCCCTCGCTCTGCTGCCTCCTCCCACCCCCAAAGCTTGGAGGTTCCCCGGCAAGGGGGAGGGAAAAAACTTTCACTTTCGTGCGTCCCTCCCGGCGTGACGCTGCGCGCTGACGTCACGGGGCAGGGCTTTAATGGTGGTGGGCCGTGAGATTTTTTTTCAGTAAACAGGTGTGCCGTTGCCCAAAAAAGTTTGGGAAACACTGGACTAGACAGACCAATGGTTTGCCTCAGTATAAGACACTGTTAAATTAAATAACCTTTTAATGAGGGTGAAAGAGGAGAGCGCAAATTAGGTTTGAAGCTCAACATGAAAAAAAACGAAGATCATGGCCACTGGGCCCATCACCTCCTGGCAAATAGAAGGGGAAGAAATGGAGGCAGTGAGAGATTTTACTTTTTTGGGCTCCATGATCACTGCAGATGGTGACAGCAGCCACGAAATTAAAAGACGCCTGCTTCTTGGGAGAAAAGCAATGACAAACCTAGACAGCATCTTAAAAAGCAGAGACAAAGGTCCGTATAGTTAAAGCTATGGTTTTCCCAGTAGTGATGTATGGAAGTGAGAGCTGGACCATAAAGAAGGCTGATCGCAGAAAGAATTGATGCTTTTGAATTATGGTGCTGGAGGAGACTCTTGAGAGTCCCATGGACTGCAAGAAGATCAGACCTATCCATTCTTAAGGAAATCAGCCCTGAGTGCTCACTGGAAGGACAGATTGTGAAGCTGAGGCTCCAATACTTTGGCCACCTCAGGAGAAGAGAAGACGCCCTGGAAAAGACCCTGATGTTGGGAAAGATGGAGGGCACAAGGAGAAGGGGACGACAGAGGACGAGATGGTGGGACAGTGTTCTTGAAGCTACCAGCATGAGTTTGACCAAACTGTGGGAGGCAGTGGAACAGGAGTGCCTGGTGTGCTCTGGTCCATGGGGTCACGAAGAGTCGGACACGACTAAATGACTAAACAACAACAACAACAAAGACACTGTTAGAGTCAGGAAGGGAGTGGCGGATCAACTGTGTATTGCAAAACACTTAGCACCAGTCATATGCAAATGGAACATACCTTTCCAGGAAACTGGGGTACATCCAGTGTTTGCTGGTGACAATGCAGGGCAGCATGTGGGCACAAGGAAAAGTGCCCCCAGATTATTGTCTTGCTTTCTCCACCCACCCACAATTGCTTGGAGCTTGGAGTTACTTGAAGGAAAGGCACTCTCCGCATACGAACCATACAAACCATAAATCGATAAAAATCAAGTAGACGCCTTCAAGTCAATAGACTTTAGTTAGTTGGTACATTCCTCTCCTGGTCCTGCAGCCTGCTGCACAGGCTACCCAAGGCTAAGGCTTACATACACCTCCATTTGCCCTCCAACTTCCCCCCAGGGAAACCTGATCTCTAGCTCTGAATCAGAACAAACGGCAATGGGGTTTCCTGTTTTGTTTCAGTTTAGCACTAAACAAGTGGAAGAGCAAAGGCAAAGCCACTCGGACCTGTGCCTAGAGAGTCCACTTGGGATGACCCCATGATGACCCCAGCCAGCTTCAGATGCAATGCTGAGCCAAACCATGAGTGAACCCCGGGAAGTGTGGCAACTGTAGTACTGGGGGTGGGGTGAAGTGGTTGCAATCTTTACTCCGGGAACTTGCCTATTTGCTAGTGCTAAGCCTGTCATTGCTTTGCTTCCATCTCATTTGGGAGTAGGCCATTATTATTTTGAAATTTATTCGAAGCCAAGCATCACTTTGATTTTTCAGTGTAGGAGGCAGAAAATATCTGAGACTCCCAGCACTGCAGGCAGGGGGCAGGTGTGTGTGTGTGTGTGCATGCACTATGCGGTGATGCTAATCTCTACATGTGGGACAGGTTGAGGCAAGCTGGTGCCTTTTGGGGAGGGTTCTCTTACCCCTCCTCCTCCTTCATCTCCTCCTCCTCTTTGCTTGATAAAGAGCCTTGTTTCCAAGTGACCTTCTCTGAGGATTCCTCTGCTTCAGCCTGCGGTGATTCACTGTCCCTGCTTTCCTGGGTCTCAGTTTCCTCAGTTTCCTCCTGGGTGTTCTCTTCCTCCATTCCCTGCTTGGACATCTCCCTCACCCTGCCTTTCCCTGCTTCATCCCACGATGAGGAAGGCTCGCTTTCCGCCTTGGACCTTCTCTTTGCCGAGGCTTTTCCTACTTCACGCTGAGGTGATTCACGCGCCGTATCAGCCTTGGACTTTGTCTGGGCTTTCTCTACTTCATTCTGCAATGCTAGGCCTCCCTTCCTTTCCTTGGACTTCTCTGTCGCCTTGCCTTTCTGTACTTCACCTTGAAATGCTGGACTTTCCGCCTCCTCCTGCTTCTCAGCTAAGAGCTTCGCCAATTCGCCCTGCAGTACATTATCCACTTCTTTCCTGGGTGCCTTCTCCTCTTCTGTTAGCTTCTCTGTACCAGCCTGTAATGTCAGTTAGGGGGTGAAATTCATTTCAGTTCACATTTCAAGGCAAACCTTCCTAATCTGCACTTTTTGAAACAAGACACGAACTGGAACACAGCCATCCTTCAGAATTTGCACTTCTCCAATTTTTTAATCTTTTTTTGTTTTTTTGTTTTTTTTGCAGGTCCATAGGAACTTACCTCCTCAATCCCACCCTTCCAAAGCGGGGGGGGGGGACACACCTCAACAAGGAATCTCCCTTTCTTACCCTGGAAGAAGAAGAAGAAGAAGAAGAAGAAGAAGAAGAAGAAGAAGAAGAAGAAGAAGAAGAAGAAGAAGAAGAAGAGGCTCTTGGAGATGCTGGGGGTGTTGCTGATTTTTTTGTTTTTTGGGGGGAGGCTATGCCACTGCCATCTTCCCCCTGGGGGGGGGAAGAAAGAAAGAAAGAAAGAAAGAAAGAAAGAAAGAAAGAAAGAAAGAAAGAGTTGAAGTTTATGTTGAAAAATGTGTCCTCTCTCTGTTTTTGGTAGTTTACAAAAAAAAAAAAACAACCCACAACCTAAACAACTTTGGTTAAAAAATTAAAAAAAAAGCTCAACAATTTCAGAACTTTGGGGGTGCTGGGAATTTTACTTTTTGAAATATGGCCTATTTTCAATAGAAGATTTTTCTTCAAGACGCTTAGGAATAACCTGAATGCAATGCTCAAATCAAGTTCTTTTTAAGGGGAAGACAAAAAAAGGAATCAATGCCTAACCCCACCTGTTCCAATTACCTGCTCTGTTGTGCCTGTAGTAGGCTTCTTCGCTTTCCTGCTGCTTCTATCCATTAGGAAGCCTCTTGGGGGGGGGGGGGGTGGAGAGAAAAAGAGAGAGATGAGGACCTTCCGTTATGACCCATGCTCATTTTCAGTGGGTCTTCATTCATAGGCCTTCATTCCCTTTCTACCAAACATTTTACTTCTGTGGTCCCCTCAATTTGACATGGTTTGCCCAGCCACCTTTTTGGGTCAGTGCACATTCTGAGAAAGTGCCGTGGGTACCAGTCCCAAAATGGCTGCTCTCTCTATGTGGCATAACACAAAATGGCTGCCTTTGGGAGTATGGCATAATAACCAATTGGCTATTCCTCCTGAGAGACCCCCACACGCAACATGGACAGGATTGGGTTGCTTTTGGGCAATTCCTCCCGAGTAAATCCACCAAAGGGGAGGATTGGGCAAAGTCTTCATAAACCCAACGGAGAGGGGTTCTCACATTTCTCAGATTTATGAGGCCCAGGACCAATCACAAAATGACGTTGTGGGCCAAAGCCAGTCACAAAATGGCGATAGATGGAGGCAGAGTTTGGCAGAATCTGCAGGCAGTTTCTTCACTTCTTTTTTTTACTGACACTAAACTTATCTTTGGGAAGTACTAAATTCTTTGCCATGGCATTTTCCTTGCGGCAAGGAGTTTCGTAGCCTCAATTTCCCTCAGCCTAAGTACAAAAGGTGTTTGGGTGGATTTTTTTAAAGCTCTTTAGACGCTTTGGGCCCTTTCAAGCTTAAATATTCTTATTGCTCGGAAAGCATCTTCACCTCTCTCACCTCCACCCCTGTGGGGTAGAACAGGACTTGAAAAGACTGCCTCTTCTTCTCCAACAAGAAAAAGAACAGGTCCTTTACAATATGGCGAACGCCACACAAGAGAGCCATTCAGCACCATGGCAACAGAGAACAACAGATCCTTCCGGGGTTCCAGTCGTCTTCCTTCCCTCCTTTGCAGTTGATGGTTTCTATTTTAAATTATACAGGGCTCTTGTTCCTCTCATAGCACCCAAACACAGGTTGTGCATGCATACTGTGCCTTTAAAGCACATGTGAAGCACATCATTTCTCTCAAATAATTCTATCCTTTACTCCACACAATTCACGGCAACCTTTTAACAAACCACAGTGCCAAGGATTCTTTTGGGAGGGAGGGAATGTGCTTTGAATGTTCTTTAATGGAATAGCGCGTACCCAGAGACACAGAGACATTTCAGGACTTGGAGCAGGCGTTGGTGCCCACCAGGACTTCCTATAGCGCCTGCAAAGGTTTCAGGAAATCAGTCCTAAAAAATCCATAAAACATATTCCTGCTCAATTCCCTGTTGACACAAAGGTCACATTCACACCATACATTTACAGCACTATTACACCACTTTAACCAAAGGACAATTCCCGGGATTGTTAAGGTGTTGTAGTAGCAATTTAAATATATGCTGTGCATCAGATCTTACTCAGCCTCTCCTATATTGAATCCCCCCACCCTTAAACATGCCAATATTTCATTGCACACCCACCCCTAGCAGGGCTGAGATTGCATACCCTCCAACATTTCTCCGATGAAAATAGGGGTCCTGTTTTTAAAATATAATATAATAATAAAAAAAAACCCCACCCATATGACTGGGTTGCCCCAGCCACTCTGAGCAGCTTCCAACATGTATAAAAGCATAATAAAACATTAAACGTTTAAACAGGGCTGCCTTCAGATGCCTTCTAAAGGTTATATAGTTATTTATCTCCTTGGCTCGGGGGTCGCATAACTCCACACCCTCCAACATTTGTCCAACAATGTTCCTTAGGGACATCCTAAGGAAAAGTGGGACATTCTGGGATCAAATCAGAAACCGGGACGGCTTTTGTAAATCCAGGACTGTCTCTGGAAAACAGGGACACTTGGCGGGTCTGGGATTGTCCCCAGCCTAAAATCCTGGTACACAGGAGAAAAGATAGCTGCCTCAGATCACTGGGTTCATCTAACTGAATATTGCATACACTGACTGGCAGCAGCTGTGTTGAGTTTCAAACAGGGAGTCTGTTGTAGCCCTACCTGGAGATACTGGGGATTGAACCTGGGATCCTCTGGCCTGTAAAGCAGATGCTCTCCCACTGAACTACAGCACATCCAATGTAGTGAACCACAACCAGAGCATGTAAATAATGCAATATTTCCAATGGAAACAGGAGGAGGCAATTGTACTTCCTGTCCTACCCACCACAACTGTCCCCTTCAATACAAAAATTATTATTTCTCAGTTCCTTTTCATAAAGTGTGCTTCGCTATCTCTCTCCTGCCTGGCTGGCATCCCAGCTGTTGGTTTTTTTTGGTTTTTTTTTTTTGCATTACCTGGAAATTTCACTTAATCACCATCCTCCTTCCCTTCCCCACCCTTTTTGCAGATCATTAGAAAATCTATTAAATAGAGCACGTGGCCCATTATACGCCCTTAGGGTATTCTGTTATTTCTATCTCTCAGCTACATTTTCAGTCATCTCCCTCAACCCGCCTGAACTTGAAAGTTAAGAGAGGACTCTGCTCACTAGAAATACACAAGAATGTTTTAAGTGTTGTGTAAAGTGCATTATGGGACGCGGGTGGCACTGTGGGTTAAATCACAGAGCCTTGGACTTGCCGATCAGAAGGTCAGCGGTTCGAATCCCCGTGACGGAGTGAGCTCCCATTGCTCGGTCCCTGCTCCTGCCAACCTAGCAGTTCGAAAGCACGTCAAAGTGCAAGTAGATAAATAGGTACCGTTCCGGCGGGAAGGTAAACGGCGTTTCCGTGCGCTGCTCTGGTTCGCCAGAAGTGGCTTAGTCATGCTGGCCACATGACCCAGAAGCTGTACGCCGGCTCCCTTGGCCAATAAAGCGAGATGAGCACCACAACCCCAGAATCAGCCACAACTGGACCTAATGACCAGGGGTCCCTTTACCTTTTAAAGTGCATTATACAAATGTGACACTAGCTGGCGATGGTGAGCTATGGCAAATTCAATACATTTTTTCAAAACTTTTTTTAAAAAGCATTTTCACAATGTTTTTTTATATGTGCCTAGATTCCATCAAGGCCTCAGATTCCTATACCTTATCATAAACGGTCAGGCGGCATTGCGGCCTGGCCACGGCCATGTCACCAGTCCAGAGGCCAGCTGAGGAGGACTGCATGCCTGCCTGTGGATTGGCCAGTGGTGGGCAGGCCTGGGAATGGGGATTCCCCAGAGTGTGGGACCAACCGGCCGATGAGCATCACTTTGGTCTGCCCCTGGGGCGGGGGGAATTGAGGCCGGCCCAGCACTAACCCCCAAATAGCAACAGCCTGGAAGCGCTATCAGTTATATAAGGCCAGTTGGAGCAAATGCAAACTTTCTTACTACAAACTTTCCTTCTTTCTTGCATTCCACCTAGGGAAGCTTTTTGGCCCAGTGGACCAGATCTGTCTCCCCCTCACTTCGCAGGCCAACTTAGACAGGTGGGTGTAGGCCTGGTGTTACCAGGTGACATCAGCTGATGGACATACAGGTATGGTTTAGTTGGCCAAGACGGACCCACAGGACAGAGGTTCCCCACCACTGCTGTAATTTAACACGGAGACGTGTCTCTTTGTGATTAATACAAACAAACAACACAGACACACAAATGCTTCTCGTGTAGTTTTGGTTTTAATTTCTGGAAGACCAGACCAATAAATAAATAAATAAAATGTTTCCAATATACAGAGTCAAGAACAGGCACATTTGTGAAGTGAAAGATGGAAGACGGGGAGAGATGAGGGTAGCCTCCTCCCACACTCTCTTCTCTATAGCTTGGGGTGGCTGCAGAGCCTTGCCCCATGTAACCAAACAGCCCTTGGAGGAAGCCCAACCAAGAGGGAGCTCCCGTAGGGTTCACACACTCCCAAATCTTACTATACCTCTCCAACATTACTGGACTGCAGGGAGGGTTGGATAGGGCCCCCCCAATGCAGTTGTTAGCATTTTTTAGGCAATCACACCCCAAAACAGCCTTCCCAGACACCCCATGGTAGGGATAGGCAAATCTGTCAATTCTTGTTTCCCTCAGTTTCTTATTTTTTCCAATCTCAAGTTCAGTTATTCACATTTCTACATCCATTTGCAACTGCTTTAAAAAAAGAAAAAAGTCTTCATGACGACTCACTGGCATTTGAGTGTGAATTTCTCCTAACAGACACATTTTTACAAAGCAGTTTTCTCCAAACAAAATGCATTTTTTGCACTTTATTTTCAGCACTATAAGCATTTTTACACATACTTTGCCCCAAATTATGCATTTTCCTACACATTACTTGGCTGGAGAACTGCAGTGCAAAACACAGAGGAGAGCGAATCTCCAAAGAGAGTTGTGTTTTTTAAGTTTCAGGAAGTTCCAGTTTGGTAGGTTGGCCTCTAGATGTGAACTAAACCAAATTTCTCCTCCGTCCCTACACCAAAGCAGGGGAGGAAAGGTGCAGAAGTTTGTGACAAACTTTCAGCAAGTGTACAGGTGCAATACTATCGTGGGTTCCCCACCCCACCCCCATCCTGGGAATTGTAGTTTGTCAAGGGCACTGAAGCTTCTCAGTCATGGCGACATCTGTTCAGACATCTACTCTGTTAAAAGCCCCATGCTAACATAATTTCCTGGGGGAAAGGGAACAAAAGGATCTAGGAGTCTTGGTTGACCACAAACTTGACATGAGCCAACAATGTGACGCGGCAGCTAAAAAAGCCAATGCAATTCTGGGCCGCATCAATAGGAGTATAGCATCTAGATCAAGGGAAGTAATAGTGCCACTGTATTCTGCTCTGGTCAGACCTCACCTGGAGTACTGTGTCCAGTTCTGGGCACCACAGTTCAAGAAGGACACTGACAAACTCGGAACGTGTCCAGAGGAGGGCAACCAAAATGGTCAAAGGCCTGGAAACGATGCCTTATGAGGAACGGCTAAGGGAGCTGGGCATGTTTAGCCTGGAGAAGAGGAGGTTACGGGGTGATATGATAGCCATGTTCAAATATATAAAAGGATGTCATATAGAGGAGGGAGAAAGGCTGTTTTCTGCTGCTCCAGAGAAGCAGACACGGAGCAATGGATCCAAACTACAAGAAAGAAGATTCCACCTAAACATTAGGAAGAACTTCCTGACAGTAAGAGCTGTTCGACAGTGGAATTTGCTGCCAAGGAGTGTGGTGGAGTCTCCTTCTTTGGAGGTCTTTAAGCAGAGGCTTGACAACCATATGTCAGGAGTGCTCTGATGGTGTTTCCTGCTTGGCAGGGGGTTGGACTCGATGGCCCTTGTGGTCTCTTCCAACTCTATGATTCTATGATTCTATGATTCTATTCTAACAGCTATGAAACTCATTCACACTTTGTGTGGCTATTCGCCTAATCTGACTCACGAGGCAGGAGGAGTTTTGTGCGTGTGTGCTTGGGGACAGGGATGATCAGGAGAGCATGCAACAGGAAGTAGACCTGGTGCTTGGAGCCAGAGTGGATGGGAGTGATCCTGACCTGTCCACCCACTCACAAGGTGCAGTTCTGGAAGATTAAAGGAGGACAACCATAACAGGCACACAGGTTGAGATGAGGCTTCCAGTGATGCTCGGGGAACAGGAGTATAATCCTGCTGCCCGGAGGAAGGCTGAGTAGGGGAGCACCATGCGGAGAGGAGAGCGGTGATGCCAGGTTTTGTCCCACTGGAAGCAAGAGACTGTGTTGGCACAGCAAAGAAGGTGGCAATCCTAGTGTCTATGGAAACAGGGACAGAGCCCAGCTGGCAGCATAGAATGGGATACCGCAGTGCAGAGGGTTTGTGCCAGGGCACACAAAAAGGCGGGCACTTAGCACCTCACGGAAACAAAAGCCGAGACGCTTTGGGTTTCACTCTGCTGGGCACAGGAGGAGAGGAACAAAGAGAACTGCACCAATAGGTCGGAAACTTGCTCCAAGTCAGGCTTTGGCCTAGCCCTAGCCTTAGACAGGTTCACCTTTGTCCTGGGTCAGGCTCAGCAGGACCATGGGCAATCCTGGCGGCTGGCCCGTGTTGGCACGGTGCCGTGCCCGAGGGCGCATGCGGCGGGGCAACCTGGCAGAAGGCGGCCCTCCATCGCTCAGCGCATCTGAACTCTCGTCAATGAAGGCCAGGTTTTCACCCGCGTAGTCTATAGGCCGCAGCTGGGCCACACGCTGTGCAGTACCTGGAGATGGGCGCGGGGATGGTGGTGGCGGTGGCAGCAGCGGGGGTGGTAAAGGCGGCAGCTGGGGTGGCAATTGCTGCTGTGGTGGCAGTTGCTGCTGCGGTGGCAATTGCTGCTGCGGTGGCAATTGCTGCTGTGGTGGCAATTGCTGCTGCGGCAGTAGCAGTGGCGGCAATACCTCTTGGCTGTCCCCCTGCTGCAACATGGCCGAAGGCGACAGCGGCTTCCCTTTCAAGGTGCCCACTCTGTGCAGCTTGTCTGGAAACGCCATGTTTGGGACACGGAGCTGGGAGGCCACGTTGCCCGTCCAGGAGGCAGCGTGCGCAGTCAAGTCTCCCATCTGTAGGGATATAGGAAGGGGGAGATCTAGTTATGACAGAAAATTCCAAAATCCATATTGGGGGAATGTCTTTTGTTCAGTCAAGCAAAAGGTCAGAAAGTAGAAAGGTGCAACAAGACAATGACAACAATCCACCAACAGCATACAAATCAATATGGCTAACCTGATCCAAAACACGCACCCACCCCACTCACACATGAAAACAAAGATCACCACAGCCAATCACAAACAAACAAGGCCAACCCCAACCTCTCTCACCACCAAAGGAACACAAGTGAACAGCAGAGAACGTGCACAAGCAACGCTGACACCAAACCCTACATACATTAAGCAAAATAGAAACATCGCCACCCAACCCCACCCTCACCCATCTTTCCCCCCCTCCCCCTTTCCTTCCTAATGTCTCAACAAATGAAACTGATTTGTAAAAATGTTACATGGAAAAAATACAAGACAGAGACATTACACATACTTCTGTAAATCAAGAAAATATTTAATAAAAATACAAAAAAGTAAGTAGAAAGGTGGGGAGAAAAAACCATTAGATGCCACTTAGGAACATGTAAGAACTTCTCTGCTAAAAGATCTATCTAGTATAGCATGTTATTTCCCCTAATGCAAGACATTTCGCATGTTACTGTTGTGGATAGATTCATTTTTATGCACACATTCTTATATGCATTTTTGTAAACACTGGTTGGAGAGCTGCATTGCTAATTTCGGATAAATGCAAATTCTAAAGGACTATAAGGGATATAGGAACACAGGACTCTGTCTTATACTGAGTCAGCTTAGTATTGCATACCTTCCAACATGACTCAGATGGAAATAGGCACATTTCTCATTCCCCCCGCAACTGATCCTCCTCAACCCTCCCTTTGTGTGTCTGTGTGTCCCCAGCAGAGCATTTCATATCAGAAGGGCGAGTGCTGCCGCCACCACACCAACGGGACCCAGCACACACGCCCTCCACCATCCTGAGAAAAACCCTTAATCCTGGTTTTTTAAAATTTTATTCTTTAGCAGATTTATAAACAGGGAAACACACACCAATCAATAAATTTTGGGAAATGGCAAGATTAGATGCAAATGCACAAAGCATTTTTTTTTAAATCAAGACTCCACGTGCTCTGCTTGGCTCCCCCTTTTTTTCTACCCAGGGCAGTCCTGCCCCTCAGAGCCAGCACATCACAAGCCTTGGTGACTGCAGCCTCTCCTTCTCCTTGCCCAATGGAGGAGACCAGCAGTGGCAGACCTGGAGAGGCAATGGGATGCCGCTACCACCGCCATCTCTCGGGACAAGTGCTGCCTCATCCTCTCCCCTGAGCTAGGCAGTTGTGCCACTGGCGGAGGAAATAGGGACATTCCAGGATCAAATTAGAAGCTGGGGTGGCTTTTGTAATTCCAGGACTGTCCCTGGAAAATACGGACACTTAGAGGGTAACGTATTGTCTACATCAAGTGTGGGGAAACTTTGGCTCTCCAGATGTTGCAGAACTACAATTCCCAGAAGCCCCACTACGCCTGGTCAATGGCTAGTTGCAATTCAGCAACAGCTGGTGGGCCCAAGGTTCCCCACACCTGGTGTACACTGACTGGCTGTGGAGCTACAGGATTTCAGAACGGGAGTCTCTCCCAGGCCTATCAGGAGCTGTCGGGGATTGAACCTACGACCTTCTCCATTGAAGGCAAGTGCTCCACTCCTGAGCTGCAAGGGTCCTTGTGTTTTGGTTCTCAGCGCTTGACTCCTAGTGCTTGAATCTCTCTTGCAAAATATTTATGCTCCAGAGGCAACTTTCAGCGGTCGTTTTGCTGCAGCTGATTTTCACGTCTACTCCTCTGAGGTTGCATGAGGAATTATTCATTTTTGTTTGCCCTCAGCTGACAGGGATGCGGGTGGCGCTGTGGGTAAAAGCCTCAGCGCCTAGGGCTTGCCGATCGAAAGGTCGGCGGTTCGAATCCCCGCGGCGGGGTGCGCTCCTGTTGCTCGGTCCCAGCGCCTGCCAACCTAGCAAACAGCGTTTCCGTGTGCGGCTCTGGCTCGCCAGATGCAGCTTGTCACGCTGGCCACGTGACCCGGAAGTGTCTTCGGACAGCGCTGGCCCCCGGCCTCTTGAGTGAGATGGGCGCACAACCCTAGAGTCTGTCAAGACTGGCCCGTACGGGCAGGGGTACCTTTACCTTTACCTTACCTCAGCTGACTGCAGACATGCCTATTGTGTGTGGTGCCCTGCTACACCCATTGCATCCCTGTTGAGGCAGTTCTCCCTCGCACCCATGCCCAACAAGGCCAGCCACAACTTGGGTACGGTAGGAAATTGTGCTGAGCCGAAGTTAAGGAGCTACTGCATTCCCTGCCTTGCAAACTGCTTCACCACCAAATAAAATCGAGACCCGCTGAAAACACGTACATATTTCTCCTTAACCACCCCCTACTTCCCGTCACTGTGCCTGGTCCTGTTTCCAGGCGGGTGGGTGCAAAATGCCACCAATCATTTCCAGCTGTTTTTATTGCCTTTCGTCTGAACGCCAGGGTCAGCGAGAAAGAAATGGCTTTCAATTAGGCAAGCCGCTTAATGAGTTTATGTGCAAAATTGATGCCATCTGCTTTTTTAATTGGCAAAAGGGGAAATGCTTCAAAACTCGGAGGCTGCAGATTCTTGCCTTCACTTTGAGTTATTATAGAGCACCACCAGCGCAAGGAACGCTGTGTGTGTTTGGGGGTGGGGATGAGGAGAACTGTAGAAACAAGGCCCCCAAATTTTTGTTTATTTGTTTGCTTGCTTGCTAGCTGTTAACAGTGGCTTGATCTGCAGACTTCTACCTTCACACTTCCTAGACGCCTTGCTCAAGTTGCAATTTGAAGGGCAATAGAGAAGACCAGGTTCGCTCCAGATGAAACACAGGCTGCAAAACAGGAGCGTGGGACTTTTTTTCAGCTCAAGGGCCACATTCCCTTCTGGGCAACCTTCTGGGGGCCACTGGTGGGCAGCACCAGAAGCCAAAGTGAGTCATGGATGTAAATTTTGCTTTGCTCCACCTTCCACACACATTAAACATCCGTCTCTTTCCTTGAGCGAGGCAACTAAGAGGCATGAACAAAGCTTAAGGAAACATTCCAGCCAGGCACAAACTCTAAAGGAGGATGAGTCCCTAGGGCCAGATAGAAAAGGCTGGAGGGCCACATTAGATCCCCAGACCTGAGGTTCCCAACCCTAAAACAATCCTTGGTTGCTGCTCAGGAGTTGGCCTGGACTGGAGAGAGACAAATCATGAGGCTAGATTCGGACAACAACCCTGGCTTAGCTCACAATAGCACAGCAGGAGGAGAAGCACAGCAGTCAGGATATCCTCTCCAGTGTGGAACCATGCTAGGCCACGGGTTGGGTTAGTGTTCTGTACAAACTGGGCCAATACTGGTCTATATGAACAAACAGCCTTTGACCTAAGATCTAAGGTGGCTTCTAATGTATGCATCAGAGGTTACACCATTGGCTTTTGGGAGCTGTGGCCTTAACAAGAGAACCTGGAGGCGAAGAGGGAAGGTGTGTCAGAAGGAAAATGAATGGATATTGATTTGTATATATATTAGTAACTTTGTATTTATGTAACCTTTTTACATGTAGCGGTGTGTTTTTGTAATATTTTGTTTGTCTGTCGTTGCTTCCAATTTTTGCACACTGCTTAAAGATATTTCTAATATATTAAGCAGTATAGAAATTAAATAATCAGTCAGTCAGTCATCATCACACCACCATAACAGGGAAATACAGGGAGAAGATAAAAACAGGTAGGGTTGCCAGACCTCCAGGTCTGACCTGAAGTCTCCAGGTTTCCCTGGCGTCCTCCAGGTTGCAGTTGGAGGGCTTGCATCTTTAGGTGAGCTAGAGTAATAGTAGCAGTAGTAGTAATAATAATAATAATAGGAGGAGGAGGAGGAGAAGGAAGGTGTCCACTCTCATTCTCTTCCAACAAACCTCCATCTGCAGGTCCTGCCCTGTGACATCACCAGGAACCTCTCCTATGTCTTGAAATCTCAGGCTCTGGGATGCTCCTGACCTGGAAACCCTAATAATGGGGGTTGTGGAGGACTTGGAGATGATACAATGGGCCTATCAATGTACACTTGAAGCACAGTGTCCTCACCTCAGCCCTCGTGCGCCGGGACAACACCCTCAACCAGTTGCCAATCATAGTCAGGATGGAGGCAAAGTAGGCCAAGCCCAGCAGAATCCAGACCACCACCAATGGCTGGTACCACAGGTATTCTTCGCTTTTCGTATCACCTGGAAGGAGCAAAGTTTAAGGCAAGACAATTTGTAATGAGCACTCCCACCACCACCAAAACCAGTTACTCTCCACCTTAGTTCAGAGGGAGGAAGAGAGAGGCGAGGAGGTGGTCCAAAGAGACTTGCCTGAACCACCTTGCTGAAGCTAAGTTAAGATCATGTATGGTCAATGCCTGGATGAAAGGCTGTCAGGAAAACCCAACGAAGTACTCAATTGGAATAGACCAGTAGGGTGACATTTTGTCCTAGTCTTAGGCCACATCCACTCCAAACATTTAAAGCACTTTAAACAGCCCTGGCTTCCCTCAAATAATTCTGGGAAACGATAGTTTGTTATGGGCACTGAGAGGAGACCCTTATTCCCCTCACAGAGCTTCAGTTCCCAGAGTTCCCTGGGAAGAGGGGTTGATTGTGCTCCGGGAACCACTCTCAGGGTCAGAAAGGGGAATCTCAATGGACCCCACCCCACTGGGCTCACCCCCTTCATGTCACCCCACAACACCCACCTGCCACATAGTCGCCAAATCCAATGGTGGTCAGTGTGACAACCACAAAGTAGACGCTCTCTAAAAGGGTCCATCCTTCCACCCTCTGGAAGATGATGGTTGGCAGGGAGACGAAGAGGAGGCAGCCAATGAGGATGAAGAGCAAGGCCGAGAGGACCCTCACAATGGTAGCACTGACCTGCCACTTCTGCGGAGAACAGGAGGGAACAGGATGGAAGAGAGGGCAATGTTGAAAAAACCAACAGCTGATCCAAGAGGCAGCCAACTCCTATAAGTGCATTTCTTCCAATCGGCCTGTCTAGACTATAGACTGCCAACATGCTGCCCTGCAAACACGCAGGGGGCATTCCTGGTGCCCACAAGGTCCCCTTCTCCCTGATGAAATTGGGGAAGGCAAGCATTATACTGCAGTCAACAAACAGGCTGTGGTGTGTCTGTGTGAAATGTCCATAACTGTTTCTCTAGTTTGCAAATGTGTCCAAACACAACTCAAAAAAAGCTGGGGGGAAGTTCACAGAAGGGCACTGGCGCCAGCAAAACAGGACTTTGCAAGCAGACAACCTGAGTCCTGCACAGCAGAATGAGCAGGTAAAGGTAAAGGGACCCCTGACCATTAGGTCCAGTCGTGACCAACTCTGGGGTTGCGGCGCTCATCTCGCTTTATTGGCCAAGGGAGCCGGCGTACAGCTTCCGGATCATGTGGCAAGCATGACTAAGCTGCTTCTGGCAAACCAGAGCAGTGCACGGAAACGCTGTTTACCTTCCCGCCGGAGCGGTACCTATTTATCTACTTCCACTTTGATGTGCTTTGGAACTGCTAGGTTGGCAGGAGCTGGGACCCAGCAATGGGAGCTCACCCCGTCACGGGGATTCGAACTGCCGACCTTCTGATGGCAAGCCCTAGGGTCTGTGGTTTAACCCACAGCACCACTCGCAAGAATGAGCAGGAGGTCCCTGCAAATAAAGGTGGGCAGAGAAATGTACAAGTGGTGTTGGAAAGGCTGGAGAGAAGCTGCCCTCCAGGCGAGGGTTTTGCTCACCAAGAAAATGTCCTCCACTTTGCCAATGGCTTTCCGGAGAGACGATCCCAAATGGTCCCCGACTCCTGCCAGCAGCATGCCAAAGAGAGGAATCCCCACGAGGGCATAGAAGATACAGAAAAGCCGGCCAGGGTCAGTCTTGGGGGAGATGTTCCCAAACCCTGTTAGGGAAGAAGAAGAGAGAGAGGCAGAGAGAGAGAGTCAGCCAGCAGAAAAGAGAAAACGCTCCTCAATCTTGATCCAGACTCTAACACTCTGGCTCAGACTACTCCAACCAGGCACCCTCCGAATGTTTTGGACTACAATTGCTATTAACTCCAGGGAACAAAGCTGCAATAGGCACATGGTCTTATTGTACAAATGAAGGAATTAGTTTCTTGGCTTTTTTTAAAGCAAGTTTCTAGTCTTTACGACTGCGAAAACAGCCCTGAAAGTATGTGGGCCACTGAAGACACAGGTGCTTAAAAAGGCAATTTTTATATTTGGATATTCATTCTGTTTTTGATTTTTAAAAAGCAAGTTTGTAGTCCTCAAGGTTGTGAAAACAGGCTTGAAAGTGTGTGTGCAATGTCTTAAAAATACCTTTCCTTGCTTTGACATCTGTTTTATTAATTCTGAGGGCTGTTCTGAAACTGTTGTTGTGGTTTGGGGTATTTTTTTCCTGCTAATACTTTGACTACTGCAGATTTGACTGAACTGTGGATTGTTTTTATATTATTATTACTGGTTTTTGTTAGCTGCTTATAATTTCTTCCGGAAGATGGGACAGGATATGTTTTTTAAAGAAGTAAATACACAGCAAACAAACAAAACCGAGGGGTTCCCCGCCCCCACAACGAATCCAATTGGCAGCAGATTCAGGGCAGACAACAGAAAATACACCTGTACCAAAACATACCACTAACTTATGGAATTCACTGCCACAAGCTTAGACAGATTTAAAAGGGGGCTAGACAAATTCACGGAGGTGATCATTTAGCCATGAAAAAAAGAAACAGAGCTTCTCAGTTCAGAAGCAGTCTACCTCTTGCCAGGCAGCAAGAACAAGAAGAGGACCATTGCACTCCTGTCCTTGTTTGGGGGGCTTCCCACAGGCATCTAGTTGGCCACGGTAAGAACAGGGTGTTGGGCTAGATGGGTCTTGCATCCTTAATACTCTGTGAGGTAAGAAAGATGCACTCTTCATATCCTCAGAAGAAACCTTTGCTTCTTTACTATTACCCTTATCATTGTTCCAGGGACGAGGCCTGGCTCAAAACAGAATGTTGCACAAGGATGTACGCACACAAAATCCAACCTCCTTGTTCCATTTCTGCTTCCTTAATTTTTGGAGAAGTGCCTGGATCAGCCTCTGTCCCAATCCTGCAGACTCCAGCAAAAATAAGCAAAGCCTCTTAGCTTCTTTGCTCAGCCCCAGGTTGTAAATCCTTTGTGTGGCTCCCTGGCACCGTCTTGAAGCTGCAGCCAGCTGGCAGCATTGATCACCCTGGTATACCCACTCCTAGGTCAGTTATGCAGGAGGCAGCTATACACACAGCCAGACTGGGGTCCATCTAACTCAGGCACGTCCAACTCCCAAGAGTCTGCAATCTACTCACAGTATAAACAGACTGGCTGTGGGGCTCGAACTCATGGCCCTGAGATCAAAAGTTGCATGCTGTACCAACTGCGCTATCTCAGATAACCAACAACACCTGGAAAGTCCACAGGTTCCACCTTCCCAATTTACACCTTGGTAAGTACATTACCTGCCAACCTAGCAGTTCGAAAGCACATCAAAGTACAAGTAGATAAATAGGTACCACTCCGGCGGGAAAGTAAACGGCGTTTCCGTGTGCTGCTCTGGTTCACTCAGAAGTGGCTTAGTCATGCTGGCCACATGACCCGGAAGCTGTAGGCCGGCTCCCTTGGCCAATAAAGCGAGATGAGCACCGCAACCCCAGAGTCGGCCACAACTGGACCTAATGGTCAGGGGTCCCTTTACCTTTACCTAAGTACATTTAACATGTGATCCCTAATTGGTTGGGACATGTGCCTAGCATGGGGAACCTGTGGCCCTCCAGATGTTGGGCTACGACTTCTGTCTGCGAGAGTTTTGAAAAACACTCTGAGGGCAAAATAACACTTGGATCCATGCTGAGCCAGGTGGCACAATTGGTTCAGGCTTGTTGAGGGGCTCTGGACTATTCATGAATTATACCTTGTGGGGTCAGCTTCAGTTGTTGCAACCTGAGGATGTGGACCGGGCGATTATGGCCATGAGGCCAACAGCATCCCTGCCCATAATGACTGCCAAATCTAGCAGGAGGGGATTGATTGGATAGATTCAATGGATGAGGCAATGCTGCGCCACTGGAAGGAGTTACGCCTTCTGCCTTGAAAGAGGCGGTGGTGAGGCTCCTCCTAAAGAGGTCCTCCCTAGATGCAGATATTTTTGAAAACAATAATATTACAGTGGTACCTCGGGTGAGATGGTTGGATAGTGTTTTCGAGGTTACCAGCATGAGTTTGACCAAACTGCGGGAGGTAGTGGAGGACAGAGGTGCCTGGCGTGCTCTGGTCCATGGGGTCACGAAGAGTCGGACACGACTAAACGACTAAACAACAACAGACCTCGGGTTAAGAACTTAATTTGTTCGAGGTCCGTTCTTAACCTGAAACTGTTCTTAACCTGAGGTACCACTTTAGCTAATGGGGCCTCCCGCTGCTGCCGCTCCCCTGGCGTGCGATTTCTGTTCTTATCCTGAGGTAAAGTTCTTAACCCGAGGTACTATTTCTGGGTTAGCAGAGTCTGTAGCCTGAAGTGGCTGTAACCTGAAGTGTCTGTAACCCGAGGTACCACTGTACTTTCCTGGGCAAGGTGGTTGAGGGTGGCAAAGGTAAAAAAAGGTAAAGGACCCCTGGACGGTTAAGTCCTGTCAAAGGCAACTAAGGGGTTGCAGCGCTCATCTCGCTTTCAGGCCAAGGGAGCCAGCATTCGTCCACAGACAGCTTTCCGGGTCATGTGGCCAGCATGACAAAACCGCTACTGGCCCAACAGAACACTGTGACGGAAACCAGAGCGTACGGTAATGCTGTTTGCCTTCCCGCCACAGCGGCTTGCTTTCGAACTGCTAGGTTGGCAGGAGCTGGGACAGAGCAACGGGAGCTCACTCCGTTGCGCGGATTCAAACTGCCAATCTTCCGATCGGCAAGCCCAAGAGGCTCAGTGGTTTAGACCACAGCACCACCCGCGTTACCTTTGAGGGTGGTGGTGGCAAATCAGCAGCAGGTATGCCTAGATGAAACAGATTATCAAATCCAGGGCTCAATACTGGGCCATGGCTTGGCCTATGGCGGGGCATAGCAGCAGCACTACCACCATAGAGATAAATGGCAAAAACCTCATTTTAAAAAATTAAGAAATGGGTGTCTAAATGCATGCAGGTGGCTCCCAGGACTGGCAGGAGCTTTCGATAGTGTTTCAGACCTGACAATACCAGGGACTGAACCTGGGCCTTTTTGCATTCAAGGCCATAGCTGTCAATGTTTTCCTTTTTTTAAAGGGAAATTCCCTTATTCCAAATAGGATTCCACACAAGAAAAGGGAAAAGTTGACAGCTATGTGCAAGGCATGTGCTCCAAACACTGCGCCACAGTCCTTGCCAGGCTTCTCTGTAGCAAAGCAAGGAAGATACCCGCACCTTCCCTCTGTCTCCTCCCTCCTCCCCATCAGACCCCAGGTACCGATGGTGGTGATCACGGTCCCAGCGAAGAAGAAAGCGCTGCCCATATCCCAGTGCGAGCTGTTGGCGTTTGTGCTGTTGATGGCAGGCTCCACTCCGACGCCCATGGCATCGCCCACTTGCTGAGAGGAAGGGCACAGGAAAAGGTTAGGACCAAGCCACTGAGGGCCCAGCATTCCAGCACAGCCATAACCCCAGAGCACTGAGCTAGGCCCCTTCACCCACATGGAGTCAGATCACTGATCCATCTAGCTCAGTACTGCTTACACTGGCTGGCAGTGGCTCCTCGGGGTTTCGGCAGAGTACAGTGGTGCCTCGCAAGACGAAATTAATCCGTTCCGTGAGTCTCTTCATCTTGCGGTTTTTTCGTCTTGCGAAGCACGGCTATTAGCAGCTTAGCGGTTTAGCGGCTATTAACGGCTTAGCGGCTTAGCGGCTATTAACGGCTTAGCGGTTTTAAGAAAAAGGAAACAAACTCGCAAGAACTTGCAAGACGTTTCGTCTTGCGAAGCGAGCCCATAGGGAAATTCGTCTTGCGGAATGACTCAAAAAACGGAAAACCCTTTCGTCTAGCGAGTTTTTCGTCTTGCGAGGCATTCGTCTTGCGGGGCACCACTGTACATTCGCAGGCCTACCTGGAGACGCCACCAGGGATTGAACCCAGGGGGTTTTATTTTTATTTGCACGCAAGGCAGGTGCACTGAGCTACTGCCAGGAGCGAGCCAGCAGCAAATCAAATGGAGTAGGCAAAGTTAACTCTTTATTAGGAAAAAAACCCCACAGGAGTGCTAGGCCTAATGAGCAAAGCAACTTGTCCTGGTAAATCTTGCCCCTAATGACGCAGTTGTAGAGACGGAAGGGGTCCTCGCCTTCCCACAGCTGCCTAAGTGCCTTCCTCTTCTGGGTTTCCCCCAAGCAATCTGAGACTGCGCCTGTGTGTCTACCTATGCTGCTCCCACTTCATGCCTCTCTGGATTCCAGAAGACCAGCGGGGAGGGGAGCATGTGGCAGCAGGAGGGGGAGACCCCTGTGCCTCTTCAGCAGCCTGACTCATCTCTGCCTCTCGACCTGCCTCATCCTACTCTCCTGTTTCCGATTTTGAGCAGTTCTCTGTCAGAGACTCTCCCACCTCACTAAGCCCCATTGCCCCTTCAGTTTCTGACATTGCCTCCTCCCAGTCTGCTCCCTGTGACCACTTATCATTGTCCTACCACTAGGGCTGGGCAATATATCAAAATACAGTGGTACCTCGGGTTAAGAACTTAATTCGTTCTGGAGGTCTGTTCTTAACCTGAAACTGTTCTTAACCTGAAGCACCACTTTAGCTAATGGGGCCTCCTGCTGCTGCTGCACCGCAATTTCTGTTCTCATCCTGAAGCAAAGTTCTTAACCCGAGGTACTATTTCTGGGCTAGCGGAGTCTGAACCTGAAGCGTATGTAACCTGAAGCGTATGTAACCTGAAGCGTATGTAACCTGAAGCGTATGTAACCCGAGGTACCACCGTATCGTTCAAAACTGGTTTGGTATTCCATATTGTGATATTGGTTACATCATTTCAACCTGGCAGTATATCGCAAATCATAGTGTGTGTGTGTGTGTGTGTGTGTGTGTTACAGTCAAACCTCGGTTTCCGAACACCTCTGTTGTCGTACGTTTCGGCTCCTAAAAGCCAAAAACCTGGAGGTAAATGTTCCAGTTTTCGAACGTTTTTCAGAACCTGAACGTCTGACGTGGGTCCTGCTTGAGTGCAAGAAGCTCTTGCAGCCAATCAGAAGCTGCACCTTGGTTGTCAAACGTTTCGGAAGACAAACGGTCTTTTGGAACGGGTTAAATTTGACAACCAAGGTTGGACTGTATAAAAACCAGAATGTGGGGAAAACCGTGAAGCCGGCCATTGCTCCTCTTGATTCCTGCAGCCCCCATTAACTCTACCAGTTCAGCTCTCCCCTGCCTTCTTGCAGGGGGCAGAGAATCAAGTGCTGGCAAAAATCAGGACGCAGGAAAAACCGTGATGCCAGCTAATGCCTCTACATAGCTCCATCCTTATTTCGGACATTGTGATAGAGTGGTACCTCAGGATGCGAACGGGATCCGTTCCAGAGCCCCGTTCGCATCCAGAAGCAAACGTAACTAGCAACAGTACGTCTGCGCACACGCGCGTCGCTTTTCGCCGCTTCTGCGCATGACGTCATTTTTAGCGTCCGCGCATGCACGAGTGGCGAAACCCGGAAGTAATGCGCTCTGTTACTTCTGGGTTGCCACGGAGTGCAACTTGAACGCGCTCAACATGAAGCATATTCAACCCGAGGTATGACTGTATTGCTATATTGCAATATTTAGCTGGTGATATATCGCAATGTCGAAAACAAGGTATCGCCCAGCCCTACCCACCCACAACCCCCGGGCTCTGAGCCTTCTTGCCTTGGTGGTTTCCCAGCTGGTTCCTCCCACCATTCTTCTGGGTCCAACCAGTCCCAGAGCCCTGTTCTCCCGCACCCCTTTGGCCTCCAGCTCTCACCTGGATGAGGTCCTCGAGGTCCTCAGCGGCTACACATTGGTGTAGCTTTAAGAACTGCTCCAGGTAGGCTTGGATCTTCCTCTGCTGGTGGATCTCATAGGGCTGCTCCAGTTGGCGAAAGACGAAGGCACCTGTGACCAGGTAAATGAGGACCACGGAGAAGAGGGCCAAAACGGTGGTCCGGCGCATCACAGTGCTGCGCTCCTGCGGCCGTGGGCTCAAGATAGACTCCTTGGACGGGTAGCAGACTACGGGCATAGAGCCATGATGATCGGGGGGGCAAATGGCGGGGGGTAAAGGCGGCGGAGGATAATTCACTGGGGGGGGGGGTACAAAAGAAGAAGAAGAGGACAGGGTGAGTCCCCCTTGCTCCACCCCAAAATCCCCAGTCCACGTCATGCCTTAAAGTCTCAGGATCGCCCCCTAGAGGTCTGACAAAAAGGGCGTACTTCTTGACACTGTTAACCTCTGGAACCTCCTGCCACTAGCTAGGACAGCTTGCAGGAAGAAAGGAGGAGACAAGTCCATGGAATATGGGTCTGTTGCTAATCTCTAGAACTCATAGTTGCTAGCCTGGACAGCTCTGAAAAGGAGACACATTCACAGAGGGCGGGTCTGCTGTTAGCCTCTGGAACTCCCTGTTACTAATTTAAACCCCTTTTGGAAAAAGGAAGCACTGACAAATTCAGCAGCAGGGGAACTGTGCTGCTGACTAATCACAAAGTGGGGAGGGGTCTTGGGGGTCTAGTCGTCACCCCCTGCTGCTCAAGGCAGGATCTGCGATGCAGGATGCGGTGGCAGCATCCCTGACCATCCAGCTTCTGCACTGATAGCGCCCCCCAGTGGTGGCTGGTGCCCATCAAGCCAGACTTGATCCCGTGGGAACTGTAGTTTGTTAAGGATGCTGAGAAAGTTAGTTCTGTGAGGAGTAAGCTACAGTTCCTGTGATTCTTTTTGTTTGGGGGGGGGTTACCTTACATATGCTTTAAATTTACGATGTGCATGCAGGGCACTCCAAAATCACCTGCTTCCAAAACCACCAGAAGCAGGAAACATTGTAGAGTTGCAAGGGACACTGAGGACCATCTAGTTCAACCGCCTGCAATGCAGGAATATGCAACTGTCCCATGTGGGGAATCGAACCTGCAACCTTCTTGTTATCAGCACCATGCTCTAACCAGCTGAGAGGCAGATCAGATGAGGACTATTGCCTTCATGCCTTGCTGGGCGCATCTGGGTACAGAACACTCCATTAGACACAGCATTGGTCTGATCCAGGATGCCAGTGCTTAGAAAGGGAGAGCAGTTCCCTCTCTTCTCCTGTCCCCCAATACAGGCAGGATTTAAAACACATTCTTTCACCCAAAGAATCCTGTGAGCCGTAGTTTACCCCTCTCAGAACTAAAATTCCCAGCACCCTTAACAAACTACAGTTCCCAAGATTCTTTGGGGGAAGCCATGTGCTTTAACTGTATGGTGTGTGCACAGCCTAAGTCTAATATCTTCCCACCCCTTTAAATGAGCAGAAACGTGATATTTATTAATCTTAAAAATATTGACCCAAACAACTTAGCATTGAGCAGTCTCGTCAATAAACGTTACTCTGATTTAAAGAATACAGCAGGGGAACTGCGGCGTTTAAAAACAAGATTGTTCCTGGTCAGAGAACAAAACTTAAAAATCCCCCCCCAACTGAGCACAGACTCACCCTTATAATCAGTGCCGGATTTACGTATAAGCTAAACAAGCTATAGCTTAGGACCCCACTCTCTTGGGGCCCCCAATTTTTTTAAAAGAAAAACAAAACCTGGGTGTACATTTCCAAAATATAATATAAAATAAAATAAAACCTACATATAGCAACAGTGTTTTGTGTTATGTAGGCTCCTATTTGTTACGTGCAAATGGCTTTAGATACCTATTAGGTCCATAAATTACCACATAGCATATGTTTAACACAAAAAAACAGTGACAATTTGTTGTTGACAAAGGACAGCTGGACATATAAAGGGCCCCATTACCTTCAGTAGCTTAGGGCCTCATCAAACCTAAATCTAGCCCGCTTATAATGGTTCCTTCCCTGGTTCTTCTAGGTTAGGGGCTCGTGCAATCCCATAATCTCTTTGCTCAGCTTGTTTCCAGCACCTAGGCTGGGTGGAAGAGTAGAAAACAAAGCACCCACTCTCCAACAATTTATCCCAGGTTATGCTCCCCCACTCAGACTCCATGCTTCCCACTTCTCAGTGTGCAGCTGACTGAGAAAGGTACGGTATGTTCCAGCCCCTCCTAAAATTTCCCAACGGAAGCAACCAACGTGCTGCTATACAGTACTTCAACTCTTCCTCTTCCCCCTATCCCTGCAATAAACCTTGATTTCAAACCTGGAGCAATAAAGTAACACCCCAAATATTGAGTGTTGCAGTCCTGTGCCACTTAACTTGGGAGTAAGTAAGCCACATAGAACCCAACGAAACTTAACTTCCGAGTGGACAGATAAAAAGCTTTGAGACTTTGGGAAATGTTATGTTGCAGTTGTTGTTTTTTAATGGCTGAGTGTAAGAACCGCAGAAGCAGACACTTCCTATTAATGCACACTCATTTTCTAGTTATATTGCAGATCTTAAGCTTTCCCCCCTCCCAAACGGCTGTTTGCAAAACTGCAAATCTTACTCCTGATCTATACATGGACACTGTATTAGTTAAGAGTTCTTAAAAAGGAGGAAAGAATGAAATATTGTATTCACAAAACATCAAAAGTCACAGATCCCCCATCCTGCTTGTCTCATACCACCACCACCCCACCGGGTCCTGTACTGAGGTCCTCATGCCCGCTCACTCATTGCTGCTACTGAAAGAAGGGTCAAAGATGGACCGGCAAAATCAGAAAATGCAGAGCTGGAACAAATCAGGGCAGCTCTCCCAAAACTTAGTGCATTTGCAAACTCAGCCTCAGGGATGAAGGTGTCTGATCTGTATCTGGGGCACATTTTCTTTCACAGTGGGGAAAATTTCACAGTGATGGGTGCAAGCAGTGGGGGAGCCCTATGATTCCCCCCCCCGTGCGCATTCTTCCCAGTGCCCCCCCATGGCATTATACACTCACCTTCAAGGCCACCGATTGTAGTCCTGACATGGTCGCTACACAACTGGGTTGGTCCTTTTATTGCAGAGATTTGGGGGGGGTGCTTCTGTAGCAGCTGGTAGCCCTTCCCAGCACTGCGCTGAGGGTGATGTCTGCGGTGCAGTGGGCCCCCTGCCAACCCCCAAGATCCCAAGGATGGCTCCAATTAAACTGAAGACAATTCAATTATACGCTACCCTCTCTCCAAGACCCAACTCCCCAGGCACATCCAACCAACCACAGATGGATGCAAAGTGCTTGTGTGGAGTTTGCCAGGGACAAGCACCTCCCCACACCTTTTGGGTAGCTCTCTGTTCCCCAGATCTACCTCTCCCATAGTATATATTGGAATTGGGGGGGGGGGTCACTGAAACCAGGGGAAGGCTGCTTGGTAAGGGCAGTGTACTTGCCACTAGTTGTCGATCAAAGAAAGGGGATTCTGTATTTCCAGAGGGGGCGGCAGAAAACAGACTCTCCACTGCCGTTCCTGGAAAAGAGGGATTTGTCCATCCTGCCCGAAGAAGTGCTCTGTGCAATATGGAAGCTTGCTAGAGTAGGTCCACCCTTGGCGCAGCGCCGTAGAATAACAGAACCACGGAACTGCAGAGTTGGAAGGGACCCCCAACCCCCTGCAATGCAGAAATCAGGGCTCGGACCCAAAACCCTGAGATTAAGAACCTTGTGCTCTACCAACTGCATATCTTTGAGGCATATGGCCACAGGTGTTGCACTCCATTTTTCCTTCACACAACATTTATACACCCATTGCTGATAACATAGAGCACCTCTGTTATACAGTGGTACCTTGGGTTAAGTACTTAATTCGTTCCGGAGGTCTGTGCTTAACCTGAAACTGTTCTTAACCTGAAGCACCACTTTAGCTAATGGGGCCTCCCACTGCTGCTGCACCGCTGCTGCGCGATTTCTGTTCTCATCTTGAAGCAAAGTTCTTAACCCAATGTACTGTTTCTGGGTTAGCAGAGTCTGTAACCTGAAGCGTATGTAACCTGAAGCGTATGTAACCCGAGATACCACTGTACATCCCTTACTCCCATCTCACCATCGCTCTTACATACCTACTCCAGATATCGCTCATTTGCACCCATACAAAACAGGAAGGGCGGCAGCTCAAGGGTAGAGCATCTGCCTTGCATGAAGAAGGTCCCAGGTTCAGTCCCCAGGCAGGGCCATAAAAGACCCCAGTCTGAAACATGGGAGAGAGATGCTGCCAGTCAGTTTAGAGAGTGCTGAACTCAATGGACCAGTGGTGACCAGGTTGTAGCCCACTAGGACTGGTAGGGTGGAAGACTGGGAGTTCAACAGCAGGTGGCGCCAGAGCCTATGATGAGCAGGCCCACCCCCTGCTTGGTTGTAAGTAAAGAGGGCAGGCAGGTGGGAGCTGATTGCAGGCTTAGGTTGATGTCTAGTTAAAATATGGAATCCCTTCCCATGTGATAATGATGGCCATCCACTTAAAAGAGGATTAGGCAAATTCATGAAGAACAATAAAACTATCAATGGCTACTGATGGGTATGTTCTCCTTCCACTGTCAAGAGGCAGTATGTGTCTCTGAATTCCCAGTTGCTGGGAATCACAGGAGAGGAGGGCTGATGTTGCGCTCAGGCCCTGCTTGCAGGCTTGGCACTGTGGCATCTGTTTGGCCACTGTGGGAACAGGATGCTGGGCTAGATGGGCCTTTGGCCTGATCCAGCTGCCAGGCTCTTATTACGGTACATCCTTATGAGTAACAGTGAGGGAAGGCACTTGGGTTTCCTAGCTGGCTGCTGTGAGAACAGGATGCTGGACTCCACAGGCCTTTGGTTGTGTCCAAGTAAGTCCTACTCAGAGTAGCCCCGTTGAAATCAATGCCCACAACTAACTTAAACCCATTGATTCCAGCAGGTCTGCCCTGAGTAGGACTTCATGGGCTGCCACCACATTTCAGATGCAGATGTATGGAAAGAAATCGGTGTCTACATGTATTCACAATCTCCATGTGTTGTTGTTATTTAATCACTATATGGTGTTTCTCCCTTGCTCCCCTCTAGTTAGTTATTTATCCTCCCAAGCACTTCAAGTTGGCATGCATGGTTCTCGCACGCACACAGCCTGCCCTTGAGGTAGGTTAGGTTCAGCGACTGAGGCTCTGTGTACCATACATGTAAAGCAACATGGCTTCCTCCCCCAAAGCATCCTGGGGACACAGAGCGACCCCCTCACAGAGCGATCCTTCCCAGAACCCGGCGATTTATATCCCTGTACACGTCTGGCGTCAGGCATGCAACTATCTTTTAACATTTATTTTTTTTAAGCACTCGCACGCCGCGCACTTGCTGTCTCTCTCACACAAAATTCCTCTCTCCCTCTTTTCACATCCTCTTTGCCAGTTTCAACACACATGCTCTATGTGTGTCTGTGTGTGAGAGAGAGAGCATGCATGTGCATTGATTATGCTTTCATTTCACAACATACAGACACACATATTTGTAGTGTCCCATCCCACTGGTTTCTCCGTACATACACAAATCAGCCTTGCATGTAAACACACATGCACTGATATAGGTTCATCACCCTCCCCTGCTCATTTCTCTCTCTCTCTCTCTCTCTCTCACACACACACACACGCTCACACCGTTTTCTTCAGTGCAAAGAGGCAGCACTCAGATTCATCCTCTCTCCTCCCATTATTCCATTCTCATTATTTTTAAAGGTACCCTGCAGGGGAAATACAATGTTGCCTCTTCCAATAGAGAAATCAGAAATAATTTAAATACCAACTATTTGACACAATTAATGGCATTTATACATCATGGAGAGATCATTAAAAATGGAATTAACTGCTGAGTGATGGCATAAACGTGGCACTGTGAAGAACTTTACATTTCTTTAGCTTATCTCATGCTCTGCTGAAGCTCATTAACTTATCTGTACCGCAGGATGGGGCTTGCGAGAAGCTCAAATTAAGATTTTGCGTGCATATTTACATGCAGATTATTACAAAGAAATTGAATTAAATTACCGTTTGTACCAAGAAATTCAATTTGGTCTCTTCCCACCCTCCTTCTCTTCAGCTATATGAATAAGAAAACCAGGTCATTTTTTTTAAAGTACCATTGTAGGTTATTATAAGTTTGAAGAATTGTCCGTTCAAGTACTACTAGGCATTTCATCCTCCCTGCCCAAAACATACAAAGAAGTTAAGCTGAATTATGGATGCCTCTATAGCAAAATAATAATAATTAATAATAATAATAATAATAATAATAATAATAATAATAATAATAATAATAGAAAACCATTCAGGCCCAGGCTGGGTTCATTGTTTCAATCTTCGCCACATTTCCCCATCAGCTCTCACTTGCCTTGACCCACCCTCCTGCATCAGGAGACTTCATGAGGCAACTGCTGCCAGAAAAGCTGGGGGAGAGTTTCTGGCATTTTCTGTGTCACAGGCTGACCAAGTCAGGCGACCACTAAGGGGTGGACCCAGGGAAAGGTTTCAGCAGGCTTAGGAAGTTGCTGCTTGATGCTGAGGATATCCTGGGAAAGGTCCAAGTGGGGCAGATTTCCCTCAACCTTCTCTCACACCCCATCAATAACCTCAGTGAGAGCCACATCTCCACAGTTGTCAGTCCTGCTCTGAAGCCCTCACTGTGCCTATTGCTCTGCTCACCCTGCCCTGTAAGTCGACCCATGTCTCTCCAGAGGAGGATGCTGTGGTCGAACCCCTCTGCATCTCAGGAAGGGTGGGTGGGACACCTTCTCCTCCACTGAGTTTCAGGAGAGGACAACACTTTCAAGGCAGTGTGTCAAGTAGCTTGCTAAGGAGCCACTTGTCATACTTAGCTGTGTCTTGCCCATTCCTTTATAACAGGAATGCAAGGGGTGTGTCATTGTTGGATCAGCATCATCAAAACATGAGTAAACCATATCACCTGCTGTGCCTTTGTATATCCGTGCCATGAGTAGAGATGTGTATTGCCTGCTGTGCCTTTGACTGGTGATTTGCATATGTATCATGCCGATTTGAACATTAAAGCTTTCAGAAAGAAACAGCATCTGAGTTTGTGTGTCTTATCTATAGGGATCCAGGACATTATGCATGTTTAATTTTCTTTGATAGGGTTAAATGATATTATTTATTTATTTATTTATTTATTTATTACACCCCACCTTTCCTCCGAGGAGCTGAAGTTGGTGCACACCCTTCTACCTCTTCCCATTGTATCTTCACAATGATCCTGCGAAGTAGACTAGGCTGAGAGACAGTGACTGGGCCTAGGTCACATAGTGAGCTTCATGGCTGAGTGAGACTTGAATTCTGGTCTCCCAGCTCCTAGTCCAACCACTACAACACACTGGCTCTCAGCTGTTGAATGGTTATGGTGATGCTATAATTTTAACTATGTATTGTGGCTATTGTCTTATTTCAATTTGACCTATTAAAATTTAGACTGTTAGCTTTTGTACAGCGCTTTGAGCACAAGTCTGTGAAGATTGTGATATGTAAATAAACTTGACTATGACAGGCTGGCCAGAAAAGATAGGCCTTGATAATCCTGCACTTCCTTCCTGAATAACATAGACAAGAGAAATAACTTCCCCTCTTTGTAAAGCAATCTGAACCATCCCATTGTGTATCTTCTTTTGAAAGTGCTTTCTTGCTCTTTTCATTTGTTATTACTAGGTAAAAATGTGGTGTGACTAAATGAATTTGAAAGTTTCCATTGCTTGACTGGAGTTGGGATTTCAAAAAAAAAAGTCTCAATTTTCCCTTTTCTTGTGTGTGGTTATTGGAGTTCACTTGTCTGTTCACCCATCCATTTTGCTTCTGTTGTGAATTTTTAAAGGTCTGGATATTCTTAAGCAGGGCTTGACAAGAATCCTCAATAATGAATATCACTGTCTTCAGGTTGCATCAG